CCAAGACCTGCATATATATATATAACTTTTTTTTTATTTAAATGGAAACACAGTTCAATTTGTCTCATATTTCCATTCATTTTTAAGGCAATGTCTGCAGTGCTTTGTTGTGGTCCAGTTGCAGATAATGTAGGACTTTCACCGGACGGTTATCTATACAAATGGCTAGATAATATTTTGGATTCTCAGGATAAGAAGGTATTGTGTGCAATATCGATAACTTAAAATATCTCTTTGAACTTTGAAGTCAGGTTATCAGGAGGTTAAATGTAGAAAAACTGAGGAAAAAGTAGCTCCCTATACACTAAAAATAATTAAAATCAAGACATCTAATCCTAATAGAATGAGAGATCTGTCTTTTTGGTTTGGATTTTTTAAAAAATGTAATTACTTGAGTTCAGGAAGGACATAAATTATTTAGCCTATCTCAAAGATAGATCAGCTTTTTTATCTGCAAGCTGCACTTCTTCTCTGCCAGGAGGTAGGAAGTAAACATGGGTGACCTGATGTATTCGGAGAGGACAAGACCCACATTTTGATATTAATGAATTATTATTATTATTGCCAACCATCTCACCATAAGGCTATCTGGGCTGCTTACAAGGTAAAAGCAATAACTATACACAAATATAATAGAAATAATAATATTGCTGTATTATATTCCTTCTAACAACCCTCTTTTCTCAATTTGGAAGATTGAGGGAATTTTAAATTATAATCCATTTTGTTTCTTAATTTCTAGAACAGGAAAAAAATTGACCAACTTTGCAATATTTGGGTCTCTTAAAATGTTCAATCTCCCCGCCCCTTAAATTCAAAAGTTCTGGCTTCTTGGGAAAACTCTAGAGGCTGGAAATGGATGTGGCCTGTAGGTTCCTTCTCCCTATTTAATAATAGCTTAATTCAGGGAATTGTATAGATTAAGTCTTTTCTCTTTATGTATACTCAGATATTTGTTACTAGAAACAATGTACCTCACAGCAACAGGGCAGAGCTTGAATTTTATAATGTATTTGTTTAGGTGCATCAGCTTGGTTGTGAAGCAGTTATGTTGCTGTTGGAGCTCAACCCTGACCAGAGTAACCTCATGTATTGGGCCGTAGACCGTTGTTATACAGGCTCGAAGCGTGTAGCAGCCGGATGTTTTAAAGCCATAGCCAACGTATTCCAAAACAGGTATTAAAGAATTTAGAATGGGTATACGTAGTCCTGGAGTAACAACTGGTCATTTTATAACTGCCTTGAAAAAGGTGCTTTTTATAGCCCATAAAGCACTTTCGGCCATTGTAAAATGTCATAGCACACATTTCCTCCTTCTCTCCCCCCCCCCCCCCCCCCCCCCCCCCCATCACATGACTGATGTTATGGCACATGGCGACTTGAGGGGTTTACTTAACAATTGCCACAAAAAAATGTCAGAAAAATGGGTCTGATCATGTGAGTGCCTTGACTTAAGACTGCAACAACAAACGATCATATTTCCAATCCCAATTGTTGTTATAAGTCATGGACTGCCTATAATAGAATCAACTGAAGTTGAATTGTATGTGCCATGGTAGGGAAGCAGTAAGTCCCTACATTTTACAGATAATACATCTTAAACAGCAACGCTAATGATGAGGAGAATAGCAGTTCAATATGTGGGTAACTTCAGATTCTCCCCACCAATCTATATGCATAATTGGGTCACTATCAGGGTAAACATGACATAAACCACCGCCATCTGAATTGCTGTGGGAGAGGTGAAGATTATCTTATTCAGCTGATTTATATGGATATTATAAGACTACAAAAGAAGGGTAGTTCTCTGTCTAATCAGTCCTCTGAGGAACAGTTCTGAATTCTGCGGTGAGTTGCACAATTCGTTGGCAAAAACTTGACAGCCACAAATTAAGCCTGCTTTGTGCTGAATATTTGTCATGTGCTATTGTGTCTGCTGCTCACTATCTAATCCATTGATAGAGAACTATGGCCCTTTTATGACTTGTGGACTTCCAACTCCCAAAATTCCTTGAGCCAGCATGGTGAAGTCCACAAGTCATAAAGACACCATAGTTTCCCACCTCTGGTCTAATCAGTAGTAGTCCTGTTGTTCTCCTGAAACAAGGATTCATGTTGGGGTAGTAGTTGTGCATGCCCCCATATTCTAGCTTGAACCTAATTAATGTGATGGTGTAGGGCCAAAATCACTGACAAGGAAATAATGCTTAGAGTATAACTATTATATCTGTAATGCAAAAATCCAGGTAACCCCTACATCAAAGCAAAGAGAATTTTCTGAATCTTTTTGCTACTATTGAATCGTGTGCTAGAATTTTGTAGCCCTAGATTGGTTTAGTGATTAACTAAATGAAATGCATCGTTTGAACAGAGCTAATCAGGCTATTGTAAATAGAGCAACTTTCTAAGTAGGCTTATATATAGGTTCACATTGTAAATTTTTAAAGTATTACATTTATTCTGTTTTTAAGCCACAGTTATTCATACTTTCTTTTCTTCATAGGGATTACCAGTGTGATACTGTTACTCTTCTCAATCTTATATTATTTAAAGCAGCTGATTCTTCTAGAGCTATCTATGAAGTTGCTATGCAGCTTTTGCAAGTTAGTATGAAATGTTTTTATCAGTACATAAATATTTTTGTTTGAGGCTTTTAAATTTTAATACTGTTTTAAAAAATTTTGGGTTAAAAATCAGTATTTAACCTGTTGCTACCATATATCATTGCAATTAATTTCAGGAAAATTTCCACAGATTAGCCCAGTGGGAATAGATTTTTTTTCTCCCTAGCCTTTAGAGTATTTTATTTGGTCTGTGTGTAAGGGGTAAAACGTAATGGATAGCGTTTCATAGACTTAAATATTGAAAACCCTCAGAAATATAAGTTTTCCTTTTGGTGTGAGAGGAGATAATCCAGAGACAAAACAGATGTATCTGCATGAAAAAGTATGGTTTTTTTTAAAAAAAAATCTTTCCTAGACCTCATCTTAAATCCACCACCACCACCACCCCCAAAAAAAAAGTCTCAATGGTTCCCTGTTATTCTCTGCCACACCCAGGATGATCAAATAGGGGAGGTGTCCATCCTAGTGTTTCTCAAACTTAGCTGGTTATAGGATTCTAGGAGTTGAAGTCCATTCATTTCAAAGTGGCTGATATTGAGAACCACTGTCCTATCCTAACCTTGAGCTGTGTTAGACCTAGAAGCTGTATCATGTTTTAAGCAACAGTGAGAAAGAATACATAGTTAACATTTTCTGTCTCTCTCTCTCTCTCTGTGATTCCATAATTTCATATTGTTTAGTAATCTGAATTTATTGAATACATTTATATTTTCTAGATCCTAGAGCCCAAGATGTTTCGTTACGCTCATAAACTGGAGGTTCAGAGAACTGATGGACTATTGAGTCAGCCTTCACCTTTGCCACATTTATATTCTGTGTCCTATTATCAACTCTCAGAAGAATTAGCAAGAACATATCCAGAATTAACTCTCGCAATATTTTCAGGTATATATTTCCTTAAAAAGCATATTTCTTAATATTTATTGTTCAGAAATATTGTACTATCAAAATCAAATTATAGTGTTTTTCAAGTTTTTTCTCCTAACACTGGCCTATATATTATCTATTACTCTTACCATTAAGAAATATGGTGATGGTCCATAATCTCTAATTATTATGTTCTCTAATCATCATAACCCATCTTATGAATAAGCACTGTATATATATGCATCGCTTTTTTGTTCCTTTATTCGCCCACCAATCAGCAATCGTTTGCCTTTTTATTTTAATGTGAAGTTACACTTGTCAAGCTAAGGACAAACCATCATCCTAAATAATCCTCAATTTAATAATACTGCCTCGTTCTAAAGCAATTAATATGTAGTTATTCCTCTCTGTGTATGATTATCTGGACTCCTTCAGTATGGGTTCAAACATGCTTGTAGCACTGAGGCAACGCTGGTCATGCTTGTGCATCCACTTTGGTTCTTCTTGATCTCTTGGTGGCTTTTTACTCAATCAGTCATGGTACCCACCCAGCTCTGTTCAGGGAATTGGGAAGTGAGAGGTACAGTACTGGAGTGGTTCCCTTTTCTCTGGTACTATTTTCAGGAGGCCTTGGTGGTGGGGGAAGGATCAAGCTGTAAACTTTGTGAACTTCCTTCCTTCTGCCTCCTCCTGGCCTTTCTACCCTGTAATGGAAGATCCTACTCTCTTTTCACAATCTGACAATGGGCCTTCTTTCCTTTCTTCTTTTCACATGGAAGCAATAGTTATTTCAGGAAGACTAAAAGCTGAAATGGCAGCCAGTAAATTCATTTTGCAATAACATATGTATATTTTTGTGCTTTTAAATTATTAAACACAGAGGTAAGCCAGAGAATTCAAACAGCACATCCTTCTGGAAGACAGGTGATGCTTCACTATTTGCTGCCGTGGATGAATAATATTGAATTAATGGATGTGAAACCTTTACCCACAATCCGACGGCAAGGTGAAGATGACGAGGATCTCCTAAAAGACAGAGAACTGATGGTGAACAGCAGGCGCTGGTTGAGAGGCGAAGGTTGGGGGTCACCCCAGGCAACTGCTTTAGTTTTAAACAACCTAATGTATATGACAGCAAAGGTAAATTGAATCAAGCATTGGGCAACATGGATTATTTTGAGAGTTCCGTTGTTTCCTCAGTTTGTCACTAACAGAGTGCTAATGCCTGTAAACTGTATTTTTTGAGAACAGAAACAAAGAAAAAAAAACCTAATATATTTTAAGTTGCACTAAATATAAAAAAAGTAATATTGTACCAGAGTAGACTGAATTTTTAAGCAAGCTAGGAAGAAAAAAGGATTTGAGCATTATGGAACTACCTTCTGCATAAAATTCATTAAATTATACCCGCTGTTTTCATTATATATCTCTTTGAGCATAATTTAATTTTTAAACGGAGAAATAATTCATATCTTAACTTTGTTTTCTAGTACGGAGATGAAGTGGCTTGGTCAGAAATTGAAAACGTTTGGATTACTCTAGCAGACAGTTGGCCAAAGAATCTGAAAATAATTCTGCATTTTTTAATCAGCATTTGTGGAATAAATAGCGAACCCAGCCTTTTGCCTTATGTAAGTTACATGAAACTTATTTTCCTATTCCTCACTCTAGTGAGATGAACAATCATATATTTTAAAGGCAGGTAGTCCTTGACTTATGTCTATAATGGAGCCTGCCCATTACGGTCATAAGTCATAAAGGTTGTTAAAGGACCCACCCAATTTCAATTTTTTTCTGCGGTCATTAGGGCCTGATCTTCAGAACTTTGATCTGGGTCATGTCCCCCTTTTCATAACTTCAAGCAGTCATAACTTCAAACACTCCTCAGTGACTGGTTGTAACTCAAGAGCTACCTATAAGTAGGCATAAATGTTTTATTTAAGAATCACTTTTAGTCTGACCATGTTACTAGTTGTAGTTGTCTGTGCTAAAAGCAGAGTCAGAATGAAAATAGAACCATCCATTTATTATAATTATGAATAGTTGTTATAATTATCCCTCAGTGAGGCACTACTTTGACATGGTTGTGGGGCTTTTGTGCTCTGAGGAAGATGAGAGTTATGCCAGAAGTTCAACTGTACTGGACAGGTCACATCAGAGGAGTCAGACAAAGAGTGTCTCTCCCATAAAAAATATGGTGAGACATAAATATAGAAAACTCATTACAGTCATTGCCTGGGTCAACCATACTAAGTGTTTGAGTTCCTGGATCTTTGGTGAAAAATGGGCTACAGGACTATGACTGAGCAACCAGGCCAGTCCCTGTCTCTCAACCCAACTTGCCTCACAGGATTGTTTTGGAGAAAATATGAAGAAAAAGGAATGTTAGATGTCTTCACCACCTTGAGTTGTGTATAAAAAGGAGAAAGAGAAAGTATAAATATAATTCCTTCCATTCCCCCACCATCCAATCAGAGCTGAAGAAGCTTCTTGGATGAGAAGCGAAACATCTTCAAAGAAAAATAAGAAAGTCCAGTTGCCTCTTGAAAAAGCACCTGTGGGAGAGAGAGAAAGAATTGGGGACAGGCAGAGAATATATGTTATAAAATCCCAGCTCTACCTCACTATCATCCTGGGCCAATTCCTTCCATGTTTGATCCTATGTTGGACTTTACATAGCAGTTGGAATGTTTGTTTGAAGAATAAGCATGTCTAAAAAAGGATACAAATATTATAAAAGTAATTCAGGAAATCTTTAGGAATCGTTATGGTACTTTTAAGCAGAAATGCAGCGTTTTACTTCAGTTACTCTGTTGAATATAGATTATACTGGTTTATTAACATACATGTTGTTTTCAGCAGGAGTTTAAGTACTAAACATTTCTAGAAATTATACCATTCATTTACTTTGTGTAAAAGAAGTCTATTAACAGTGTTCCATATGATCAAACATTTCAGGTGGTGAAATATTAAATATTTAACTATGCAACAGGGATCTATTTAGAATATATTGGTTTTGCTTTTCTAGCAAATACAGCTTCAAAAATAATGAAACATGATTAGAATATAGAACATAGAATAATAGAGTTGGAAGGGACCCCTGAGATCTTCTAGTCCAACCCCCTGCTCAAGCAGGAGCCACCATGTCATTTTAGGCAAATGGTTGTCCAGTCTCTTTAGTTACAAGTTAAAAGACAAAAAGTTACAAGTTAGTTATTAGCTATAAGACGCTTTAAGAACCGGTTTCGGTAATTTGTCTGCCAACAAAAAATTCAATTATTACCTAAATTTACAGTTTTGTAAAAAAAAAATACAAGCCATTTTTCTGTTTATTTAATAGTGTTCTTAATGATTTTTATTTTCTCTTTGAATGGCAGGTGAAGAAGGTAATTGTTTACTTGGGTAGAGATAAAACCATGCAGCTTTTGGAAGAGTTGGTGAGCGAATTGCAGCTCACAGATCCTGTTAGTTCTGGAGTGACACATATGGATAATCCGCCCTATTACCGTATCACTTCTAGTTACAAAATCCCTTCTGTCACCTCAGGTGAGACAACTACATCGAACTGTTTTTAACCTATCAGGACAGATATTCACCTCACTGTTGGGTAACATCCAGGCATGGCCAGCTGTTTGGATCCAAAGCAGAATGTATATTTCAAAGGGGGCGTGGCTGCACCTGGCAGCCCTTTGGTAAAGAAACAGTGCCTTTTTCTGGGTCTGCTCCTCAAATTTAGAAATTTGGCCATGTGCCTATTGAGTTGTTCCAACCCCTTGGCTGCAGATATTTTTAGCAACCTTTATGGTTGAAAAAAAAAGGAAGCAGCATATGATTTTACTGGTTTGTAGGTCTAAATTTTGAAGAGATCTCCTGCTGGCCTTTGCAAAGCTTGCTTTCTTCAGCATGTTTTATGTAAAACAGCCGATGACATAGAAGAGACGACTAAGAAAAATAAAGTTTGTTGAAATAGTTAGCACTAATTGCAGAGCTGTTTAACTCTTGAGACTATAATTTTTCTTCTGTGTCTTATACATAAATTTTTGGCACATGGTTGTGATGACCCAGAGTGTAACACAAACATAACAAAATCCAAAACATAAATAAATGTCCTGTAATGCCTCCAACTTGGCCCCACTGTTCAATAATTCTCAGTTGGAGATAAAACGTATTCAAAAATAGTCTTCAAAAGAAAGCAATACAGTCCAAGCTTAATGAGCAGATAGAGGTGAAATAAAAAAACCAAACAAACTACAATGAAGAAATTTCCACAATGGACCAGGATAAGTAATTACCAACTTCAAGGAGATAACAAGCATAGTCTGTTGGAAGGACACCAACCAAGATAACGTCAGCCCAAAATAAAACACTCTTTGCTTCTGGCAATGCTGTGTTATATACTAGTCTCCCCAGCTTCAATCAATGAGGGGGATCATGGCTGCTTCCTCTCTCATAAGCCAAGTTGTTTCCTTCTCCATTCCTCCTGCATGTCCTAGGATGCAGAGGGGATGGGCCTGAGTCTTCCTCTGACTGCCCAGCCGGCCTCTGTCCTTCCCCAGCCTCCTCCACAATGTCCGGAGCCGCACCTCCACTCCCTGTCAGCTGTTCCTCCTCTTCCCTCAGAGTCCGACTCTACCAAGGCCATGACAGTGGTTCTTAGTCGTCTGGCATGATTGCTGTTTTGTTGGTGTGAGACATCAAATGGAGAGAGAAGAGGAGAAGCATTTCAGTTCTGGCTTTGAAGGGCAGTTTTGCTGTCCTGAGGGCTAATGAGCTGATGTGGCTGCTAGCAAGAACTGTTACAGGGAGATGTAGAAACAGTAGTCACATTGGTCTAGCCTGGTATATAGGTGTTGGGGGCCATGAGGGGAGCACCCACCTTCTCAGTTCTAGAGGCATGCTACCAATCTGACTCAAAATTGAGGGGGGAGAGGAAGGAGAAGACAGAAAAAGACTGAAAAGGAGTGGTTGAAAAGTTACAGGAGAGTGCAGAGTTATAGGTTCCTGGTGAGCGAAGGAGAAAAGTCTATGGGCGGTTTCTCTGGAGGAAGGGAACTGAAGTCCCAAAGAGACAACGTTTTCACCCAAGACGGGAAGGAGGAAATCAGCTGTCATTGGTGGAGCCCTGGTCTCTGGGAAGGACTTGGCAGAAGACCCTAAGAAAGGGTCTTCTCTTAACATAAGAGAAGGTGATTGGTTGAGCAAATCCAGGCAAAACACGTAAACAGCAATTCAGCATATACTTTTGTTTTTTACTCTCTTGATAATCCCAGAAACTGGATGGAGTGGAGTGAAGGGAGAGGAAGTAAAACAGTTAATAGGAGAGCTGGAGAGGTATAGACTGTAAGAGAGAGACTTAGAAGTCATTCTGACACCTGAATTGTATTGTAAATAGCTTCACTGTACATATTAAAAGAAAGAAAGAAAAATGTGAAAGCCTTCTGATTATCTGGGTCAGTTGCCAACATCTCAAATCAAAATATATGTTTAATTCAAAATGAACCCCGTCACTGTGACAAAAATTCATTCTATAACTTATGTATTTGGCATGAAGTTTGTTGAGCAGAGCTCATATGGCAGTCATAAGATGGAGACAGATGAAAGAAACCAGGTCATAACACCACAGAAATCTTTTTAGCTGGATAGTTGGGTTTATCCCTTCACTGAACCATTAACTGCTCAGTGGATTGGTCTTTGAAAACATGGGGAAGGAGGGAGATATCACTGCAGAAGTCTGCTAAGTCGAGCCTCACTTGTTCTCCCCAGCCATTACACATTGTCTTATGAAATTATTTTAGAACTTTTTCATTTATTGTACTTTTATTTAGAATTATGTATAACACCTCTAGATTATTTTGGGAGGATTATTGTTCTGTTGAGCATAGTGGTAATGATGAGTACGATGATTTATTAGAGTTTCAAATAGCTTTCAGGAATTCTGTCTTGTGTTATTATTGCACTCATTGAAAATATACTACTGTTAATTTCCAGGAACTACTTCCAGTAGCAATACAATGGTGGCACCCACAGATGGTAATCACAACAATAAGCTTACAAAAGATAGTATTGATGAAAGGTAAGAAGGATTTATAATGTTTGAAATACTGATTGTTCTTTTTTTTAAATAAAACCTTCATAGGTCTAACTAGTAAAGCCTAAAGTGATACTTGATTAAATGTTGGTGACAGCATATTATAGTCGCTGATAATAACTCTGCATGTTTTTGTATTGTGAATGCCAGCCTATCAAACATGTAGACCAAAGAGATACCTGATTCTACCCTCTATTTTGGGAATAGGGAATTTGAGACTTGTCTTTTTAAGACAGGGGTCCAGGCCATGGCATGCCAGAAACTGGGCCACACAAACAAGTGAAGCCCCCTCTGGTCTACAGAAAAACTTCTCTCCACAGAACTGGTCCCTGGTGCTCAAAAGATTGGGGGGGCGGGGTGTTGGCCTGTTTTAAGACAACTGAAGGAAGAGTGGGAACTGAGGTGGGGAAAAGCATGGAACTAAAGCTTTTCCATCTTGCCTGTGATTATATTTTGGATGTGCCCAGAATCCAGGTAACTGACAGAGTGTGAACATTTTTTTTCAAAGGGATTCTGGGTTAACAGGTCCACCAGAAACCTTCATGTCTCTTAACGGTGCGGTATACATCAAATCAAATCTATAAAATGTATTTATAATTTGATCACATTCTTTAAAAAAGGAAGGCCACTCTATTCTTTTCATTGCAAGCTTTATTATAGCAAAGCGGTATAGTATTTGCCTTTTGAATTATTTTAACTGTGAACACTGTGCTTGAACATTTACCTTTTAATATATAAAATATAATAATTTCTTGTTATATTTTTAAAATATTTGGCTTATGTAAAGTGAAATTGGTCTGTCCACCAAGGAAAGGTATGGCTAACCACATGTTTTTTTCTGATGTATTATATAAATTATTTCTTTGTACCCTGCAATCGTGAAAAAGGCAGCGCAAAATATGAGAACCCTATAACTCTTACACAACAATTTTAGGATGCTATAGGAAGAACCCTCTGGAAGATAATTACTGGCAGTAGGAATTGTCAAGCTGCTACCTCAAGGTGGGGGGGGAAGGCCAGGGTTTAAAGACCCAGACAGTTTCTGGGTCTGAGTTGTCCAGCCTTCCATCTTGTTGGCTCACGATAGTCTTATTCGGCTGTGTCTTCTATTTTTGCTACTAACTTTTCATATAAGTAGTAAATAAAATTGAGGTTTTGAAAATCAAGTCATTATATAAAACCAATAAATTTAGAATGGCTGGATTTATGTATCTGAATTTTCTTGCTCATATTATTTTTTGTGTTTTTTCCTTGGTTTTATAAATATTAAATGTACTTCAGCTGAATTGTCCTCCAAGTCAGCAATTGGAGATTCTGCGTTACCTATCTCAGGGGTTTACCTGTGATTTGATAGTACATTACTAGTTTTCTACTCTCTTTTAGACTCTGGGTTCTTAATAATTTTCAGGACTGTTATGAACAGGAAAGACACAGAAGACACGCTTCTCAGGGTTCTTCCATTCTGACTCCTAGCATGCTTGTGTTCTCATACTACATTTACCTATGGTTTAGGCTGAATAGTTTTTAAGAAGTAAAGGGCACCTAAATACAGTAATTTTTTAATAGCATGTTTGATTGGATTAACATATGCTACATGGAAGAATAGAAATGTGGTCTTTGATAACACTATTAGTATGTTTATTCCTTCAGCTACATCCATCTGGATATCTATAGTGGATTGAACAGTAATCTGAACCGCCAGCATCATAGGCTAGAATCTCGATACAGCAGCAGTTCAGGAGGCTCATATGAAGAAGAAAAAAGTAATTCAATCTTTTATTTTCCTCAAACAATGCAAGGTTTAACTGTCAGTTACATACCCGGATTTTGTTAACTTTATAGAAAAATCTATTATCTTCATCTGTTGTGGCAACGAAAGTTATGTTCATTCAGCTGAAGCCCATCTGCTTTAATTTTTCTTTGCACTGTATATTGAGGGACACTATTATGTCACTTGGCAAAGAATACTATAATTATATACCATATTACATGGCATACGCACCTACCATAAATATGTGTTTAAAATACCTTCCTTCTATGACACTTTGACACTTTGAGCTACCCTTAATTTAGGAGAGGCTTGGATGATGTAGCTATCAGATCCACATGTTTTTATTTGATTTTCAGAACTGATCATTACAGTTGTTTTCTTCAGTTCAGTCTTGTGCTAGACTTTGATGCCTATTGCTTTCAGAATACATACAAGGTAGTCCTTGACTTACCATAATTTATTTAGTGATCATTCGAACTTACAATGAGACTGAAACAGTGACTTATGACCATTTTCACATTTATAATCATTGTAACATCCCCATGATCACATGATCAGAATTCAAATTCTTGGCAACTGACTCATATTTATGATGGTTGCAGTGCCCCACGATCATGTGGCCTTCTGACAAGCAAAGTCAATGGGGAAGCCAGATTCACTTAACAGCTGCGTCACTGTCTTAACAATTGCAGTGATTCACTTAGCAACTGTGGCAGGAAAGGTGATAAAATGGGGCAAAATTCACTTAACAAATGTTTCACTTAGCAACAGCAATTTTGGGCTCAATTGTGGTCATACATCAGGGACTACCTGTGTATAAATAATGTTTTTATGTAGCGAATCCTGAATACACCCAAAATTTTTGATGACAAGACAGTGTTAACTAATTATGGGAAAATACAGAATATACAACATGCATATTTGAAAATAACATATTTCAATTAATATAACTATATATGATTGAAATGTCTGATTCAAGATAATAATACTTTTGACAGGTGATTCGATGCCATTGTATTCGAGCTGGCGACTTAAAGTGATGGAACACAATGAAGGAGAGCCCTTACCTTTTCCACCTTCAGGAGGTTGTTGGTCACCATTGGTGGATTATTTGCCCGAAACATCATCTCCAGGCATGTCTCTTCATAGGTAAGCAATATAAATAAGACACTCCCAAATCCCTCTGAATATGAAGTACCTAAAAGAGATTGTAGCACAGTACTTTCCTTTCAGGAAAAGAAAGCAAGAAATTAATTGGGTCTTCCGTCTAAGGAACATGTAAGATTTATGGAAATTGACTCATCCTGCTTCCAGATTATTCTTGTTTTTTGAGAATGGAATCTTCACAGTTCATATTTCAAGACAGAAGCCTTTTATTTTTTTACTTTTAATTGTTTTGGTAACTTCTATAGAAGGAATCTTTCCACAAAGTCTTTTGTATTTTTTCTGGCCTTTTATTAGCTGATCTAGGCTGTATAAACATTGAATATGATGCCTCCTGTATCTTTAAATATGAATCATTTATTTTGCCTGCTTACTGCCTTCATACAGAAGTCTCTTCATCTCAGCCATACTATGCAGGGCAGCCAAAAGGGTAGATTGGGGAGGCGGGATGTTGAAGTGGAGGAAATTTGAAAAAAGTCGGACACATGTTCCTTGGACAGCAGAACAAGTATCGGAGTGCATAATACCAGATAGACATGTCGCTAGAAGGCAAAACCACGAAATTGCATCTTACTTAATTTGGCTACATCAAGTGGGGGAATTCACTGGAGAAAGCAATGATGCTTGGAAGAGTTAGCAGTAAAAGGAAACCAGGCTGTCAAAGAACATGGTGACCGGACACCATCAAAGATGACACCAGCCAAGAGCATAGAAAAACCTAAAAAGAAATAGTGCAAGATCAGAAGATGTGGAAATACCTGGCCCATAGCATCGCCAAGAGTTGGGCTCGACTGAATGGATAACATCAGCACAATCAGAAGTGTGAGTCCTCGCCTAACGACTGGAACGAGGACTGCTCTCCCCAGGCAGTGAAATCATGTGGTGTTGCATTTAATGATCACTTCGCTGAGTGATGGAAAGTATGGCCCCAATTAGGGTCATAACCTGAGACTACCTATTTAAGCCTTGCTTTATATTTCTTTATGCTCTGAGCTGTGCTGGCATTAAACAACTATATTTCTTTATTGAGACAACTAATATTTATTTTATTATTATCTATTTATTATTTGCTAAGTGATAAACAGATCATTGTCATAGTTACCACAATATATATCTTAAATACCTAAAATCTTTTAATGTTATTGTCAATCTGTCCTAAGAGGACAAAATTTGGTTTGAATAGTAGCAATTCTAATGTAAACAACCATGTAACTATGATGCTGATTTTTAAATTGTATTTTATAATTTCAATCAATTCCACTGACACACACATACCTTTAACTTAATCGAAATCTCTTCTTTGGTTTATAGGTGTAACATAGCAGTGATTCTGTTGACTGACCTAATAATTGACCATAGCGTGAAGGTAGATTGGGGAAATTACTTGCATCTCTTGCTTCATGCCATTTTTATAGGTAAGTTTTTATTAAAATTGGAAAGCATTGTTACCACATTGTTTAATGGTCTTGCACATATAATGTTTAATGCCAAAGGGAAAACTTGATTCATTTAAAATAAAACCAACTTGAAGAGCAAGTGGTACCCAAATTTTCAGTGAGCATAGCAGTGGCCTAAAAGACTGAACTCGCAGGAAGAACAGTTGTTTATTTTTTTATATTTGATAAAAAATAAATCTACCATAGCAAGTAAGAAAAAATAATTTTGTTAAGAATTCTTATCTCTTGAGTGTATGACAACAATAAATGAGTGAATAGGATCAGGCATGTTCCTTTTAAATGAACTTTTAATTCATTAGCAACATTAACATACAGGTACATCATTTGACTATATGCATTTTTCTTTTCTCGGATGTAGGTCTTGATCATCACCATCCGGAAGTATATGAACACTGTAAACACCTCCTATTGCATTTATTGATAGTGATGGGCTCTAACAGTAGCGTCCAGGCTGTGGCTTCTATCCTTCTTAGGAACAAGGAGTTTAATGAACCCCGGGTGCTCACTATCAAACAAATAGCACATTTGGACTGCATCTTCACAGGTATCTTCAGTCTTCTAATTAATGCCCATGCTAATTGGGGGAGGGAGGGCAGTTCAACAAAACTTAAAATGCCCTGTATTCATTATAATGAAAATAAAACCACAGGAGGTATTCCTCAATTTACAACCATTCACTGTTTTGGATTAACAGCGACCAATTGCAACCAAAAATCCAAGCTTACCACTGTTACCCTGCTCCAGTAGTCATGTGATTGCCATTTGGGTACTTGGCAACTGGCAACAGCCAATTTTAGCATCCTCTGGTCAAATGAGCACAATTGGCAGTGTTTCCAGCAATTTTGTTGGTTTCCAGCAAAAGATGCCCTTGGCTAATCTGGATTCACACTTACAATTGCCTGGCTCAATTTAAGAGCACAGTAAAATCAGATTCTGTCACATGATGACTCAAATTATGGCGGCAATGACAACAGAAATTCCAAGCCCAATTACCATCGTAAGTCAAGGACTACCTGGAAAAGCTATTTCACAGCAATATGGTAGAAATTCTGTCTCTTGAATAGGTAACTGATAAAGCTACATTAATTCAATATTTCTTTAATATTTTAGAACAAACTTGATCAAGGGTAGTAGGCCTCTCAGGTCTAAGAACCTAAGACATTTACTGTAATAAAAATATATAAGAATCATTAAGTTGCTTATATATATAAGAATCATTAACATTGCTAATGTTTAATTTATTTAAATCAGGAAAAGAGGAAGATGAATTAATGGTTCATTTAACTTTTATTTTAGAAGAGCAGACTAATGCTATAGTGCAGACTTCTCGGTTTCAAAAACTTTTCACAGTCTGTTAATAGAATTGTTCGAAGAATTCTTAATTCCCAGTACCAGAATTGGATATTTGCTCCAGACAATTTTTTAACTGTTTTATTTATAGTAATGAATTCAGAGTCAGTTTTTAATAAATAGCATTGCAAACTTTGGTTATACTTTTCCCTGTATAGTGAATATAGGAAGAGATACAATGGACTCATACATTGTTCAGCTAGAAATTTCTTAATTATTTCATATGCAATCCTTGTTTGGTACATGACACTAATATTTTTCAGCAGGTGGCAGCACCTCACTATTAAATATAATCATGTGGAATTATTAATCATGTATGTTTTTTATGTTACCCATATGTATTCAATTATACTGATCTTACAACTTTCCCTTTTTCCAAAGACAATTGGGATAGCTGCAGGGGTGGGATTCTACCAGTTCGCACCTATTCGCTAGAACCGGTTGTTAACATTCTAAGCAGTTCAGAGAACCGGTTGTTAGAAGAAATTACTCGCCTAATCCTGTAAGGAAGGCAGGAAGGAAACATTCTGGTGTTGCTTACAGAAACTGCCTCTCCGTTAACCCTTTTTACATTCTTGGCAGGACTAGACTTTCTGTCTCAGGAACATCTCTGGAGTTTTCTTTCCCCTCCTTTGCTGGTACTTTGCTTGTGTGGAGTGACCATTCAAAGTTACAATGGCACTGAAAAAAAGTGACTTATGACCATTTTTCACACTTACAACTGTTGCAGCATCCCCAGTCATGAGAGGCCAGGCAAGGAGATGCATGCCTCAATGTGAGTGATACTGAGTTGGCCATGCCCAGCCAGTAACATGACCACCAAGCCACGTCCACCCGTCACATGACTACTAAGCCATGCCCACCACCTAAGCCACGCCCACAGAACCAGTTGTTAAAAAATTTGAATCCCGCCCCTGGGTAGCTGTACACAGAGAACCAGATTGGGCTTCTTCCCAAGAATAGGATGTAGGGATGTACGAAACACTCCAAATTTAAAATATTCCAAGTATGAAGTAGCAGTTTTCTTAGCTGGGCTAAAATAATGAAGAATAAAGAAATCAGAATATCTTCTGGAATTTTTGGAAAGTCAGTGTGAAGATTTCAAGAATGGTAATTATGTCTTTCTGTAATTAGGTGTTAATGATTTTATACCAGATCACCAGCCCTCTCCAATGACAGACTCAGGACTCAGTTCAAGTTCTACCTCTTCCAGCATCAGTTTAGGAAATACAAGCGCTGCCATTTCTCAGATGCAAAGCACCATTCTCAATGAAATTGATCTTTCAGGAGAACAAGATGAAAAAATGAAGTCACTGATGGAGTTTATTACTTCAAGGTAACATTTGAATGATGGCATTTACTCAGTGGTATAGAAATGCATACATTTTCAAAACTGTTCTAAGCTCTTGCTCAAGATTTCATAACTTCATAATAATGTGAAATATTCAGCATTAATGTTCAGCTTTTTTTAGTTTCATGGAAATGGTACCTGAGTTAGTGAATTTTAAGGGTAAACATTTCTGCTGAAATCAGGATAAAGTTAGGGTGCCCCACTCCATAAGTTTTAGGACTAAAACTTTTATCTTCCATGTAGGATGAAGTTCAGGTTAGGGTTTCTTGATTCCTGTGGTTAAATTTAATGGTAGAGATTGTTTTGTAACAATTTAACTCTTACCAAATAATATTTATGGTTATTGTATGTTTATAAAAGCAAACATGTTTTATATCTGAAAAGCTATAACTTCTAAAAGAGGCATTCGATAAATAATCAAGGAATCAAAACATAAGGCTTCAGTGCAGATAATGAATTATTTTTAACAAATGAGTTTCTGGTTTGATATATCTGCAGAAAACAAGGACCACTTTGGAATCATGAAGATGTTTCAGCAAAGAATCCAAGCATAAAGAGTGCTGAGCTGTTAACTATATTTCTAAAGCATGTTGTTTCTGTATTCAAGCAGTCAAGTTCAGGTATGTTTTGAAAACTTTCAAATTGCTATGATCAGTACATGTTGTAAATTTTAGCAGTTTAATGAAGGAACAAGTACCGTATTTGCCGGCGTATAAGACGACTTTTTTGCCCCGAAAAACATGCCTCCAAGTGGGGGGGTCGTCTTATACGCCGGTATATCCACTGCCGGCTTTCGGAGGCTTGTTGGACGCAGCGAAGGCGCCTCTGGCTTCCTGGATCCCCTGCGTCGCTTCCGCTTCATCCCGCTCGCCTCGCTCCGCCCGAGGCTGCAGCCTTACTGCTCTTCCCACGGCCCCTGGCACTCTGCCCTGCCGCTGCAGCCCCGGGGATTTCTGGAGGGCGTTTCCGGTGGTGGTGGGGGGTCGTCTTATACGCCGGGTCGTCTTATACGCCGGCAAATACGGTAATGCAGGATTTGGGTTTGGCTAGTCTAGAAAAATAGAAGGACTCGGGTGGGACTTGATAGCAGTATTCCAGTATTTGAGAAGTTACCACAAAGAGGAGAGGGGTCAACTTATTTACCAAAGCACCAGAGGGCAGGACAAGAAACAATGGATGGAAACTAACCAAGGAGAGAAGCAACTTGGAATTAAGGAGAAAGTTCCTAACAGTGAGGACCATTGACCAGTGGAACAGCTGGCCTTCAGAAATTGCAGATGCTTCATCACTGGAGGTTTATTAGAAGAGACTGGACAGCCACTTGTCTCAAATGGTACAGGATCTCCTGCTTGAGCAGGTGGTTGGACTAGAAGACCTCCAAGGTCCCTTCCAGCTCTATTCTGATCGATTGATAATTAATTTTAGGCACTATTAATGTTCCCTGTTTCTTGCAGGTGGATTTCAGCTGGAGCAGCATCTTAGTGAAGTTGCTCTGCAGACTGCACTTTCTTGCTCTTCTCGACACTATGCTGGAAGATCTTTTCAGATTTTCAGAGCATTGAAACAGCCTCTTTCAGCCAACACACTTTCTGATATTCTCTCCAGGCTTGTAGAAACTGTTGGAGATGCTGGAGAAGAAGCTCAGGTATTTCGCTTTTCAAATTTTTTTTTTACAAACCAATAATTTAATTTTTATCTTAAATTGAACATTAAATGAAGATGTATGCCTGGAGAATATTATTTATAGCAGTTCTAGAGTACGGCATCATAACAAATCATTTGGAACTTTTAAAAGTTATAGAATGCTAGTCTTTTGTAATCAAAAAGATTCTTACACTTGTGTCAGATAATCTGTGATCCTAAAATGATATACAGACAAAAACTCTTTATTTTCTGCCTCTTAGAGCTTCTTATGACTGGTAAAAAAAACCATAGCATGATTTTCTTCCCTTTTGAGGCAAGAATGAATGAAAATTGTAGTGTAACTTTATGCATGTTACAATTAAAAAGCAAGTCCTCCCAGAACTGTGGCCTACCTATATATACGTGTTACTTCATCTATGATCTCTTCATCCAAATGTTAAAAGAATCTGTAGATCACCCTGGAAATGATCAATTTATTTTCACATAAAGGTTTGTGGACCGTGCCTATTGGATGGATAGAATAAGATCTGTAAGAATGTTTTTATAAGAAAAATAGGGAAGTGGATGCTAGGCAGGATCGCTACAAGGGCTAGGAGACTTTACCAACCTTTTCTGTTCAACTATGCATATGGCATGTTGTATTTTATCGAACGAAACGTTCATATGGTTACTTGAGTTTTAATGCTTTTCAATGTATCTGATTAATAAATTGCCTTTGTGGCCGATTTGCTGTTTATAGGGTTTTGTCATAGAACTGCTTCTTACATTGGAGTCAGCAGTGGATACATTGGCAGACACCATGAAGCATTATGATCTTCTCACTGCACTTTCCCAGTAAGATTTTTTTTTATGATAGCTTCCTGGAATATGCATCCGAAATTCTTTTTACAATATTTGGGCGAGACTTTTTCTTTTAAATCATTGGGAATATATGGGTCTTTCACTCATTGGTTCAGTCAGAAGTTTAAAAAATTTTTAACTCTATTTTTAAAGTGGGGTGTTTAAATGCCTGTGTCTGTAATAAGGTTCAAGGAGTGGCAGGATGACAATAGCAGGGGCACAATAACTTATGTCATGTTCCTTTTGCACATGCAGACATTGCTGAAAAGAAGACTTCTGTGATTTAAATAAGTATGCAGTACATCATTTCAATGGCTTAGTTGCCTATTATGAACATTCCATTTTTAGTTTTTTTCCCATTTTCTTTTTTTCATTGGGTTATTCTACTTGAAAGTTCAAAAAAAAAATTAAAAAAAATTTACCTAAGCAGTTAATTAATTTTAGGAAGCAATTTTTTCTGCTTTGCACACTGTCCTAATATCCCAGCCCCTGGACCGTGGACTGGTACTGGTCCGTGGCGTGTTAGGGCCCGTTCCATGCAAATAGTGGGTGAACAAACAAAGCTTCCTCGGCATATGCACAGGATCTAGATAGCATGTGAAACCATCACCACCCCAGTCCATGGAAAAATTTTATCTTCCACAAAACTGATCCCCAGCGCCAGGAAGGTTGGGGTCCACTGTCCTAGCATACTTTCTTCCTCTTTCTGATCAATAAATTTTGAAGTAAGCAAAATCTACTCAGGCCCACTTAATAAAAATAGTTCTGAATACTAAAAATTACTTGCAATCCTATATGTACCTGGTTGGTAATACGGGTACTCCTTCACTTACAACCACAATCAGGACTGGAACTTTTGTTGTAAGTTGGGGTTGGTCGTAAATCAAGTCGTCACATGACCATAACCGACTTTATGACCATTTTTACTATGGCTATTAAATAAATCACAATGGTCATTAAAACTCATTTATATCAGTTAAGCCACCCCATATGCATGATGATGTGAGCTGCCGTTCACGTAAGTGAGTGCTTTTGAATAAATATGTTTTAGTAAGTCTTTTAAAATTGCTACCAAACTCTTCTGGTTTTAGACTACCATACCGTTTTGGGGGAGCCTCTTTTTCAAGATGAGGAGAAAGCATGTTTTAAGTTAACCTTGAAGCTCATTTCCACAACAGATACAAGAAATGTGTATTGGTCAGTAAAAAGATATTTGGAGAAATTGTGGAGTTTTAGTCCTGTTATATTGTTCAGAATTCTTAATGGAACACCTGTCCTTGAGAATGGCAGCTTGGCTCACGATGGTTTAACCCAGGGGTCTCCAACCTTGGCAACTTTAGGACTTGTGGACTTCAACTCCCAGAATTCTTTGCTGGCTGAGGAATTCTGGGAGTTGAAGTCCACAAGTCTTAAAGTTGCCAAGGTTGGAGACCCCTGGGTTAACCGATGCTGCTTTATTAATTTTCTAGTCTTATTTGTAAGCGGCCTTAGTTATAAGTGGTCATAGTTACAAAATGGAGGATATAAATATTGAAAATACACCCTCTCATAAGCCCTGAAAAACACTCCCAGAAGGTCAGTGAGCATGATGCATCATAATGTGATATAATACCATGATGTCTAAAGAAAATTAAAAGATAATTCCCCCCCCCCCACTTCTTGAAACAGGTGAAAAAGGTATGTCTTTTTTTAATTAATGTGTAGCATTCTTGATTAAAAGAGAAGTAATGTTACTTCTCTGTATTTGAAACTGAGGGATGTTATCAACTTTTTTTTCAATATTCTTAATGGTCTTGGGGTGACAAATTACATGCTGCATTCTCTTTTTGTTTCAGTGCTTCCTATTATGACCCATTATTGGGTAACAAATATGCAACAAACAGAAAAAGCACCGGTCAGATAAACCTAAGCACAAGTCACGTTAACTCTGGTAACTTTGTAGGCTATTACAGTCACATGAAAAGCAACTCTTTGCGACTGAGTTTGATAGGCGAAAGGAAAAGTGACCGACGGAGGAGCAACACGCTGGATATAATGGATGGAAGGATAAATCACTCCAACAGCTTAGCAAGGACTAGAAGCCTTTCCTCCCTGAAAGAGGGAGGAATGCACGATGTGCAGCCCACTACTGATCCTGTCAATCTGATGGCCACCATATTCTGGATTGCAGCTTCTTTGCTGGAATCAGATTATGAATATGAATACCTCTTGGCTCTCAGGCTCCTCAATAAACTTCTCGTTCATTTGCCTCTGGATAAACCTGAGAGCAGGGAGAAGATTGAACAGATGCAGAGTAAATTAAAATGGAATAACTTTCCAGGCCTTCAGCAGTTATTCCTGAAGGGGTTCACCTCTGTGTCGACCCAAGAAATGACAGTTCACTTACTTAGCAAGCTCATCACAGTTTCCAAGCACATGTTGGTGGATCCATCCCAAGTAGCAGGTATTTTTCAAATGTTTTTGGAATTATACTGCCCGGAATTGTGAGTTAACGTAGGGGTTCTTTTATGCGTTTTGTTATTAGATTTGTTATTAGATTTATAGTGAACCCTTTAAAGGCTGCTTCCAAAATTAGAAATTATAAAGCATAAAAATGCTGCCATTTAAATTAAAATGCATTTTGTTTCCCAGGGGCCTGGCAGGAATGTTATTAAATAGATGAGGTTCTGAAAGGGGTACCCTAAAAATGGCCTCTCTTTCAGATAGTGCCTAAGCCATTTAGGGGTTTTAAGGCCAATGTCAGCATCTTAAGACTGTATCTAGCAGTGCCAGGGCAAAACTTTCAGTATTGGCATCCTAGGATTTCACCCGCTTCTGACCTACAATCTTGCTGTTGCATTTTGTGCCAACTGCATTTTCTGGACACTTCAGAAGCAGCCTGAAATGCACCAAGCAACAGTTAAGAAAGGAAATGGATGTGCTATATTGCTAAGGCCATCCAGCTTATGAAGAGTTATCACTTGTATAAGCGTAATTCTGTACGAGGTCTCCTTGCTGTAGTTGTTATTTGGAAACCTCACAATCACTGGGGGCCAAAAAGCACTCCCAAATTGGCATCCTGTTCTTCCTCCGGATATGCATCCTTATTCAACATGGACTTTGCCTCAATCCCTGCATGCAACTTTCTCCATACCAGTAGCATCTCGGTCTTGTTTGGATTTCATTTCTGGGTTGCTTTTCCCCTCATCCATTATTAAGCTCCAGAAGCATTCACAGGCAATGATTGCTTCCTTAGAATTAAATGTTGCGAGACAATATAATTCATGTAATATATATTCCATGTTCTAGCTCAGCAGTTTCACATTAAACAAATAGGAAATAAGAAACCTACGGGACACTATAGGTACATAGCACTTAGCAATAGATTTATATCCCACTTCACTGTCCTGCTTTACAGCTCTCTGAGTGGTTTATAGAGTCAACATGTTTCCCTCAACAATCTGGGTCCTCATTTTACCCACCTTGGAAAGATGGAAGGCTGAGTCAACCTTCAGCCGGTGAGGACTCAAACTGCCTGCAGAGTTAGCCTGCAGTACCGCATTCTAACCACTGGGCCACCAAGGCTCATTCAATATCCTAGGCGTCAGAACAATAGCCCTCCAAAACCATTTTCTGGGTGCTTCTCAATAGGAGGGACACCACGGCAAGTTTTAAGAGATGATAAACATTTGGGTATGAGCATCTGTCAAAACAATCAATTGGAGCAGTTTTGTCTGGATTGAAAAAAGAAGAGAGATTTTGCTAGATGCACAGAATAAAGGCCAGACATTGTAAAATTGATAGTATATGGCAAAGTAGATAACCTGGTGTCCTGATAATTTGTACTACTGGCTATGTTGTTTAGGACTTGTGCAACTGGGGCAGCCAAATTGTCTGCCCTCGGTACGACAGGTTTCTTAGGCATTTTTATTTTTGCTGATATTAAAAGTATTTATAGGTAGTGCATCTTGAAATAGCTGTCTAGAAAGGATAGAAATTAGTTTTCTAAATTCTACAGATAAATTCAACTTCATCTTTTTCTGTGCAGGATTTCCTCTTAACATATTATGTTTATTGCCTCATTTAATTCAACATTTTGATAATCCAAGTCAGTTCTGCAAGGAAACAGCTGACAGAATAGCGAAGGTAGGTAACAAGCAGAAATAATTCAACATTTTTTAGTTTTCATGGTGAAGGCAATTTGATCAAATATGTTGTCTGTACATTCACACACATGGGTTTGGATCTGTATAGACCTTGAAAGAGTTCTGCCACTAATATTTTTCCCAGAACCTTATCCCTGAATATCTTTCCCTCATTCCTGTTCCCTTGAATCCCTTTTGGCTATCTGCTTTAGAATTACAATATCCAGTTTACCTTTGATATAAGTGTTCTTCCTTTTGTACTCCTATTTTTCTCCATCTCTTCTCCTTTGTGTTTTAAAGTTCCTCAGTGTTTCATCAACAGAGCCTTATCTCCCATAGATGTTCTTTTGGGGATGTTGTAACTGAGGAAGTCAACTTTTATAAAAATAAACCAACTCAAAAAGCCTCTTCTGCTTTTATGAGAGGCTCTGAGTTCATAACATCCCCACTATCATACTTTACACTATGGACACAGCGAAATGGGTTGTTTCACTTGTGGTGTCCACTTTAAGTCTACTACCACTTTATGTTAGCAATAAATAGATCATAATATAAAGGCTCCTTCAGTTAGTCAGTCAAATCCAGGTTCAGGCTATGGTCGAATCTTGCTCGTCTGTGATTTGTTTATATAGGGTCAAAACTAATTCATCCCAGCTTAATTGTGGTACTTCAAACTACGTTGCTGGAAAAATTGGTGCTTATATTCAACAGATCCATCTAAGTGTTCTAACAAACAAGAGGAAAGGGATATTCAGATTCACTGTGGAAGGATGGATATGCAGTAGCAAAGTGTCTGAACTGACACCTCCATCCACTCTGCCAAAAACCTGCCTTTTAAGAAGGGGCTCAGGTGTAATAGAGTAGGAAAAGGAGGGAAAGGAAACCAAAATTTGAAGTTCTGAGGTTACTGGGAAGATCAGAAGGGAGGTGATACAGAGTGGCAAAGGAAAGAAGTGTGGCATTTGAAGTTGGATAGCCATAGTAGCAACAATGGTAAGGATGTAGTAGCTAGAAGAACAAAAGACAGTGATAGCAACAGTTTAAGGTTGGGCAGTGACAATCGAGGATGATAAAGACATCTAGCCAAGCTCTCTAAGGAAAGCCCAGAGTGCTGGCATCCAGGAGGTTTTTACCGAAGCAGAAACCTGGCTATTCTCTATTGCATAGAGAAAATCCCAAACACTGGCATCCAAGTGGGTCCCATGTGTTTCTTGAGTAGGCCCAGAGCTTCAGAAGGAGCAGTGGGACACGAGACATTGGCTTTAAGCAACAGCTAAGAAAAACAGTACGCTAGATTCTTGATGCTTTTATCCCAAACACCAGCTTTGAATCAAAATTTCTAAGAAATTTCTAAATTTCTCTTTGCAATGCCACACAACTGGGCACTGAAGTGAATAGATTTATCTATTTAAAGTAAATGTATAGCAGTCACTAGGATTTAAGACAATCGGAACTAACCAAGGAACAACTCTTTTCAGTCAGTCTGCTCTATCTAAAACTGGATTCACACATTGTTTGCTTACCCAATCAATTTAAGTAACCAATTAGCTGGGTTCATAACCTTGAGCCAGAACAAGCAAAGCACATTATTCCATAATGGGATTTTGAACTCAGACAAAATCTATAGTCATGATGGCTGTTACAAGTTGTAATAAAGTCAGGGCTCTTTTAAAATTAAATGTTTAAATAGATATTCCGGTAACTAATACTTTGACTTTTTGTTTTTAGGTTTGTACAGAAGAGAAGTCCCCAACTCTTGCTAATTTGGCTCATATGATGTGTTTATACAGTACACACAGTTACTCCAGAGACTGCTCTAATTGGATTAATGTAGTGTGCAGATATTTGCATGACTCATTCTCAGAAACAACTTTTAATCTGATAACGTACCTGGCAGAGGTAATAATTCTTTGTACATTTAGATATCTCTTTCAGGTATTGGATACTATTCTCCGTTTGAAATTGGTACATTTTGTTTTCTCACATTTTAGAATTACCAAATATATCTTCCCGGCTCTTTACGACACCTTAATAACCATTATACTACACTGGCTTTTAAACTTCCAAATATACACTCCTAATGTTATACATCAGTTAATGCTTAGTTTATTGAATGTGAGGGCAGGTCCATTAAAGACAGGGTTATCTAATAGCTTACTACTTTGCATTGAATGTCATTTGATATTTACACATCTATTTTTTAGCTGTTAGAAAAAGGGATCTCCAGCATGCAACAGTCTTTGCTGCAAATCATTTATAGCCTTTTGAGCCACGTTGACCTGTCCACAGCACCAGTGAAGCAGTTCAATTTGGAGATCATAAAGATCATTGGCAAATATGTTCAGGTGAGTCAATTAAAGGCACACATTTGAAAATGTCGTATCTTTCCATTTAGAGAAATGGATTTTGTGTTCCTCTGGATCAGAGTGTACAGCTGCCACATTCGTCCAGCATATGTTAATCTTTTCAAACTTGGCAACTTTAAGATATGTTGCACTTCAACTCCTAGAATTCCTCGGCCATGTACGCCCAGTGCAAAGAGTCAAACCAAGCTTGATTTGGGTCAGCATGGGAATTCTAACATGTAAAATGGATACCTTAAGGCAGAAAGCACATTTTGGTCCTTGAAAATGCCTCATCAAATACCAACAAGGGCCACGTTTTTATCTTTACAATCTTAGGAACATCGAAGAGAAATGTTAGAAAAATGCATCCTCCTTTTTTGTATCGCTGAGCAAATGGCAATAGAAGCTTTTTGTAACATTTTTATAAATACCATATTTACCGGACTATATAGGGCATCGGAATATAAGCCGCACCCACTAAATTTTAAAAGAAAAAAATATTTTTACATATATTAGCCGCACCAGACTATAAGCCGCAGATATATACGTTGTGAAATGAGATATTTACACAGAAAGAGAAGAATGTTCTTTGCATGTGGCCAGACGTCTCCAGCGTCTCACCATTGATTCATTAACGCCAAGCTTACGTGCAGCAGCTCTATTTCCTTCCTGGATAGACAGATCGATTGCTTTCAACTTAAAAGCTGCATCATATGCTTTTCTTCGTGTAATTTCCATGATGAGGGTGTGAAAAATATTTTGCGTTCATGCGTGTCGTGCCGCTTGCGTCGAGCATGCCAAAAACTACCGGTAGCGTCTTCTTTGCATTGACCTCTTGCGTCTGTCACGTTTTTGCGCCCCCTGATGGCAGTTAGTAAAGAAAAATCTATAGATAAGCCGCATTGTTGTACAAGCCGCAGGGTTCAAAGCGTGGGGAAAAAGTAGTGGCTTATAGTCCGGTAAATACGGTAGTCTAATTTTCAGTTTTATTTAATTATTGGATATATTTTATCCAGTCTGTATGGTTCCACATACTGTATATGGCTGCAGTACATATTTGTTTTAGGCCAAATTGCTGTCCAAATAATATTAAAGATTCCTAGATGGAACATTTTAGTGTAATCGGTTGAAATTAATACAAAGTTCTCAAAAGACAATGACTCATAAATCCTATTTCTGCATGGTATATTTTTTTCCAAATGAACTTTGCACCAAATAGCATGTTTGAATTATTTCTCTCCCAAATAGATACAGCTGCTAGAATTCTTTAGCAGCAAAATGCGGGCGTAGATAGTGGCATAGTAACCTGCTTATCCTGTGGCAATTAGAAGTAAGGCTTCTAAGTACTGTAGTTCATTTAATTTAATCCCTGGCAGATATTTATGTTTGTTAATTTGATGCCCTTTTAGAAGATCAGGAGCACATGTAGATGATTTTATTACTATTTTTAGTTCTGTTCATTGAGGGGCCCTTGGTACTGTGAGCTTTTGGCAGTGGTTTGTTCTACAAGCTTGCCATTTAGCTCCAAATGTTTTGTTACCAGGCTGCGTAACATCAGCAGCAGGACTTCGGTTGAAGCATCTTGTTCTGTTCTTCTTAAGCTTTCTATATGTTTTGGGTGCCAGTGTGTTCAGTTGGTCACATGATTGGTCATTCGTTTGGTGCTATGCTTAAATTCTGAGAAGCAGATTGGTTCCGTTGTTGATTGGTCATTCGAATGGTCCGGTTTCTCAAGGGCTCATATGCGGGATCTAAATCAATAAGCTTGTTAATGACCCCTTTTGGAAAATACCAGGCTTCAATAAATTCACAGCATATGAACGCTTAAGAAAGCAAACCATTTGAACGATCAATAGCAATAGCACTTAGACTTATATACCATTTCATGTTGCTTTAAAGCCCTCTCTAAGCAGTTTACAGAGTCAGTGTCAGGTTTTCAAGTGATGAAACTCATTTAGAGGGGGGGAAATGCAAAATCCGTCTTCCAAAACAAATTTCTTTTATTTAGGTAATCATCAAATTGGCAAAGTCTGTTGTAATTCTGGATCAACACAAACTGGAATTACACCATATAATATTGTAAATCGGAAACACCTCATAAAAGTCACATTCCCCAATAAAAATAAATCAACATTGCCCGGTGTCTTCAAACTCTACCTCCAGGCAGAGACCGCCTCTGTTCCCACGGGAAAGAAAGTCACCTAGCCAAAACAATCCTCAGTATCTAACCACCTCCCACCTTAAGAATGTGGTGAGCCCGAAACCCTCCCCCCTTACACCGGCAAAGAGAAAGAAAGAAAGAAAGAAAAGAAAAGAAATATATGATTAAAATATAGAGCTAAATAAAATGGCTACATATATGTCAGTTTCAGGCTCGACAGTCAGCACATTGCCCCATCAATCTGGGTCCTCATTTTACCAACCTCAGAAGGATGGAAAGCTGAGTCAGTCTTGAGCCTGGTGAGATTTGAACTGCCAAATTGCAGTTAGCCGGCAGTCAGCAGAAGTAGCCTGCAGTACTGCACTCTAACCACTGCGCCAACTCAGCTCCTCAACAACGGAGCCAATCAGCTCCTCAGAATTTAAATATAGCAGCAAACGAATGGCCAAGCACGCGACCAACTGATCAACTAAGTTAGTTGACCAACTAACTGATCAACCAAGTTCAAGAGAAACGTGGCAAGATACTTCTACAGAAGTCCTGCTGATGATGATGGTAATGAAACATTTGAGAGCTAAATGGCAAACTCAGAGCGTAAACCACTGCCAAAAGCTCAAGAGAGCACCAAGGACCCCACATTTCCATTCTGAGCTACAAATATTCTCCTTTATTTGCGCTATTCATTGAACAATAGTACCCAAGAATGGCTGAAGTTTAATTATCTAGAAAAATTGCAATGTCCCATCTTTATATGTTATTACAGTTGATAAATTTGTATGAGTGATTGTGCTTGTTAGAAGGTACAAAACTTAGCAAAACCGGTTCAAGTTTTCATTGCCTCATCATTTGTTTTGTTCTCTTCTAAGTTTTCACTTTGGGGCTTTTGCTTCTTAATCAGTACTTTAACTACAGAAGTTGTTGGCAGTCTGCATAGTCATGATGCTAAAATGAAATCTAAATAAGCAGAAATACCAGTTGCCATCATATTTTAGTGAGAAGGGAAATAAGGATATTTAAAATATCCACGTCTGGATTTACTTTTAAGAAAAAGCAGAGGATTATACATTCATAATTTTAAGATTTTGACTTTATTTTTTTTTTAAAGGTAACCATACTTTTCCATTTTGACTAAACCACTTGATTGAGTAAGGGTCACATGAAGGAATTATTTGTGGGCAAAATGATCGTTATTGAACTTTAATCTGGGTATAGTGTTATGATAGGGCATATTTTTTTTGTTATGATAAATCATGTGGTGATAAAAGGGAGCAGTTAATGATAACTCTTTTTCACATTTTATCAAGTGGAACCAATCTCCCAGCAACTTAAAAGCAAGACTTGCTGTGTTGATGCTTTTTTGTAAATTTTCCTTCTCATCCCATTTTCTGACCTTTCAATTGGATATATTGTTTTGAATTTTATCATAAAATAAAGCAAGTGCACTTAGCCAACTCTCTTCCTGTGGTGCGGCCCTCTTCCTCTGATTATTAACAGAGAACTTGGGAGTTTTACCCCACACACACACACACACACCTCCATATTCTAAAATTAAACAACTGAAGCAGCCTTTCTACCTAAGATTAACTTACTCCAGTTGCCTGTTGCGAAATTGCTGTTAATTTAAACCAAGTGACTGTAAAATAACTGTGAGAAAGGTAATTAAACTGTAAGCACCAGCTACACTGCTAAATACTTTTAACATGCATAGTTAACATTCACATACTTGTAAACGGTAAACCAGGGGTGTCATACCCGTCGTCACAGCATTGTCACATGATGTATCGCAACTTTTTTCCTCTTCACTAAACCAAGCATGGACGTGGCTAGTGCATGATGCATCCAGCCCGTGGGCTGTGAATTTGACAGCCCTGCGGTAAACGGTAGCCCTGTAGAAGTTCTTCGAAAAACATACTTTGGAATGTGCAGGAGTATATACAAAGCATCTCTTTAAGAAAGTTGTGCAGCTGTGCACGCACACATATACAGAAAAACCCAGGAATACCTTAATAGAATAGAATTCAATTCTTTATTGACCAAGTGCGATTGGACACACAAGGAATTTGTCTTTGGTGCATAAGCTCTCAGTGTACATAAAGAAAAAAATAAAATACATTCATCAAGAATCATGAGACACAACACTTAGTGATAGTCATAGGTTACTAATAAGCAATCAAATCATACTAGGAAACAAAACAATATAAATCATAGAGATACAAGCAACATGGTTATAGTCATAAATGGGAGGAGATAGGTAATAGGAAGGATGAGAAGAATAATAGTAATACAGTCTTAGTAAATAGTTTGACTGTTGTGAGAATTAGTTGTTTAGCAGAATGATGGCTTTAAGCAACTGTGTAGAGCTGAAAAGAGATGCAGCTCTTTAGCAACAAAAAAAGAGAAGCTACATGCATCTTCTTATATTAAGTGAAGCAGGTTTTTAGAAGGATTTAACCTGTATTTATCTTAAAAATTCAAAATCACATTTGTTGACTTGTTCATAGAAATGTAACAGCTTTATATTAATACTTCAGATATTGTAGGCTTTTGTATTTTTGACTTATTATTCTGATTAATGGAACTATACATGTCTTTTTTTCCTGTCTTTATTAATAGAGTCCCTACTGGAAGGAAGCGCTTAATATTTTGAAATTGGTGGTATCGCGTTCAGCCAGTCTCGTTGTACCAAATGATATTCCAAAATCTTATGGCGGTGATACAAGCTCACCTGAAATTTCATTTACAAAAATTTTTAACAATGTTTCCAAAGAACTGCCTGGAAAGACCTTAGATTTTCATTTTGACATATCAGAGGTAAAGAGATTTTAAGTAAGGTTTAAGATTTTGCATGCTTAATTTTCTTCCAAGACAGGCATGTCCAACCTGTACCCCCACAGGCTGCATGTGACCCTGGTCAGCTAGTAACACACGGTTTTCAGTGCAGCCCCGATTAGCCAAAAGGTCAGACGCTCAAATTTTAAGTTGAAATTAGGGATGTGCACATATGAGGAAAAACGGATTGTTCTGAGCCCAAAATAAAACATCCCATCCAGAAGTCTTTTAAATTGCCTGCATTTGGATGGAAGAAAGTACAATAATATAATTATTCAGTATTTCAGAACGCTGCTTGAATGATGATTTCAGCCAAAGGACGAGTGGGATCAGAGGAAAAGCTTGTTCCCTTCATTTTATACCAAGAATAAAATTAGGTATAAAAGGCAGAGATGAACAAATACTCAGGTTTTCAAAATTCTGTTATCGTCGCCTTTATCAATAAAAGATAAATTATAGTATTTCTAGTGTCTTTTTCTAGCTACCCATGAAGGACTGACAGCAGCTGATTTACCTCCCCCGGCCCCAACATTGCTTTATACAGCTTGCCATCAGTTGGCTGACCCCCACCCCACCCCCCAAAAATGCTATTTCTGCCTGATAAAATGAGAAGATTGGTGAAAAGAATGAAACGCTCCTGGCAAGAAGAATGTTCTTACCCTAGAACAGACAAAAAAAAATGTTCCTCCACTACTGCGGTTACCATAATAATCAATCATATAAGCCACTATATGATGATTTATAGATCATAGTTTGTGGCTTTGCATGTTATAGGGGCCTTGCTGGTTGTTGCACACCGTACACACAGCATGGTAAACAAACTCTTGTTTTAGAGACCTTTGTGAAATTGGGCAACATGTTGACCTGAAACACTACTTTGTCTTCGTTTTATAGACCCCAATTATTGGGAACAAATACGGTGATCAGCACAGTGCCACAGGTAGGAATGGCAAAGCCAAAGTCATCGCTGTTACAAGAAGTACATCTTCAACTTCCTCTGGATCAAATTCGAATGCTTTGGTGCCTGTGAGCTGGAAGAGGCCACAGTTATCTCAGGTGATCCATTGGATAAATCTTAAAATGCAGAAAACATCTCTTCGTAGCAAAAGAAAGCAAGCATCGTTTAAATATTTATAAGTATTTTGATTTCTTTTCCAGCGACGAACAAGGGAGAAACTAATGAATGTATTATCTCTTTGTGGTCCAGAATCAGGAATCCCCAAGAACCCTTCTGTGAGTAATTTTAAATTTCTGAAAGAAGCATGTGTCCATCAATTAAACAAAATTTTATACTAGAGTTGGTGAGTTATTATATCACTGTCATGAGAGTTTAAGAACTCGAAAGCTTTTACATTGTAGCAGAATGTCTTGTTAGTGATTAATGGCATTTAAATATAATTCCATCAGCTCCTGTCATCTAAGATGCAACATCTGTAAACATCTATATTGGTACTCCCAATTTTACTCATGCTTATTACCTCTGTTACTGATGACACTGTAGGTTATCTTTTCTTCTAATGAAGACTTAGAAGTTGGGGACCAGCAAACGAGTCTTATTTCAGCAACAGAGGAAGTAATTCAAGAAGAAGAAGTGGTTGTAGAAGATAACACAAGTGAACAACAGTTTGGAGTTTTTAAGGATTTTGACTTTTTAGATGTTGAGTTGGAAGATGCAGAGGTAAGACCGTGTAAAACAGTAGCTTCATTCAAGCCCATTCTTCAGGAAAAAGTAACAACTTTGAGATTTTGTCCTTTTCTTTTGCTGTAAGCTTGTACTTAATCAAAGCACTAACAAAAATCCAGGCATGCCATCTCTTGCACTTCCTGCTTAGAAAAAACAACAACATTGGATCTATAATTTTATATTGTGCTGTTTGGCACACCATGAGCTCTTTCGTTCATCCTAGCTACTTACTCCCTTTGCTTTTTACTTTGATCTAGTCTGATATGTAGAAATATGAACAGTATCTGACATTTTGCAAATTTCCTGCTTAATGGTGAATTAAAGAGTATATCTATATTTAAATGAGAATACAACTGTAGAAAGCCAAATGAAACTATACCAAACTTGAAGTATAGTCTACGGGTATCATCAAAACCTCAATTAATACTGCACAGTGTATATTGACATGAGTATGTTGAAATTGATTTGATTTTCAGCCATTCATATTGTGTCTGGGTTCGTGGTGCATTTATCATCTTTATCTGCATTTTTCTCTGTTTTTAAATAGTAAAATGTAATAAATGTCATTTATAATATACCGTTGCAGTGCATAGAAATATCCAAGGGTAGATATTGGGGAAAGCTGGACAGTCCTTCAAAGGACACCATCCCTATGGAGGTGGAAGGGGTATTCAGATAGATCTTTTATACCTCTGGAAACCAACCTCCTGTAGATGAGGAATTTTAGCAATTCCCAAGTTTTTCTTTCTACCAAGAAATAGGTTCTCTTCTCTCCTCTCTCCAGCAATCCAAATGACTGCCAGAACTGTAACCCATTCAACATCTTGATCTCAGAACCATCACAACACTTCCAACTGCTTAATGCTTCTCTGAAGCATTTCCTTTATGCTTCATTGGCTCAGAAAAGAGCAGGACAAATGCAGTGGGATGTTGTAGATGTTCTGAAAATGGTGGAACCACGCTTAAGACCCTCTCCCCTCCCTAGCCAGTGATCTCATTCTGGGTGACTTTGAGTTTAGTGCAAACGAACAGGATTGCTTTTGTGACCATAAAATACCTATAATGAATCAATAGTGAATTTAAATTCTAAGCACCTGGGAAGAGGAATGAAAACTGTAACAGCCAAACATGCTTATCAAAACTGAAATTAGCTCAAATGGCTTATGCTTTCTTGCACTGAATAAAATTTGCATATTGTACATTTAATCAAATCAATGTAGATAAAGTCCATTTTGAATTTTCACTGCAGTTACTTCCAAGTCGTTCTCAAAATTAGTTTTAATACATGTTAACACTGAAAAATGTGCCATAGCCATCTGTTTTAAGTGTTTGTCTCATAATGTTTTTGCACCAATTTTTCTAAAACCAATTAAATAATAGGGGGCTTGACAAAAAAAAAGTATTTCCAGAGCTTGAATCAGTCTTCTACTGCCAGCAAGCTTATGCAATATTATAAAGTAGCCTCCATTAAAAGGTATCTTTAAGTGTTTGTCCTCGTTCTAATTATGTGTGTTTTTCTTTTTGCGAACCAGGAGCTGCAGGTAAGTTGCAGCCTGGTGCAGTGGCTTGTTTCATCTGTTGTCATCTGTAGTGTATTTGTCTGTCTGTGCTTGAAAGTCAGATAATCTTGGTAACTGCAAAGGATATGTGGTTGTAGACCCTTTTTAAGCCCATTTAGTTCTGAAGATGAATCTGGGAAAGAAAATACTGAGAGAAAAAAATTACCTTGCCATGTATTTAAACGCTTTAAAGGGAAAGCCATGTTAATAAACTTTAAATATGCAGTGAACTCTCGAAGGGCTGATTGAAACTCTGCTCTCAGTGAATTCAGCGTTTGTGTGGCTTTGTTTTGCTGTGTTCATTTCAGCACTCCGGGTGGCTTAAACACTTTGGAATAAACTTCCTTCTCATTACAGGGAGAGAGCATGGACAACTTTAACTGGGGCGTCCGTAGGCGTTCACTGGACAGTATTGAGAAAGGGGACACGCCATCTCTCCAAGAGTATCAGTATTCAGGTAGCACCCCCAGCTTGAACCTGACCAACCAAGAAGATACTGATGAGTCCTCAGAAGAAGAAGGCTTGAGCGCAAGTCAGATACTAACACACTCCCAAATGGTAAAACACAGATTGTTTTGGCACCAGAATAGCAGACCTTGGATTTAACCTTCAAGGCTGCCTTTTGGGTTCTCATTTGCAGGAAGGGTGGGTAGCTTGTGAGTTTGGGACACAATAGATGGTCTGTTTCCGGATTTGGAATAGGGGTTACCCAATGAAATGTTGGGTGAAGGACGCTTGTCCTAAATGCTTTCTTCTAATAAAATAAGATATGGGATTTGGGATAACTTTTATCAATAGAGCAGAAATAAGGAGGCTCTTGAGGTAGTATAAAGCTAATGTGCCGATGCGTCTTTGAAAGATGTTGGTATTTCGAAGTTAACTTCTGTCATTTATGTAACTGGACAAATCATACCATAGAAAATTTACATCTACCCAAACTCTAAGAAATAAAGAGTTTAAAGGTTTAAGTAGAATACAATAATTTTTAATTTGATTAGTAATTTAAATTTCTGATTTATTTTAAAGTTTGATGAGGGTTAGGATTAGGTAAACTAAATTAAAAAAGAGAACTAGTTGGCTGTTTCTAATGGGCAAATGTAACAAATACATTTAAAGTATTTAGAAATTATTCTGGTGTAAAATAATGTACTGATAATATCAAAGTTTTTGCATTTTTGGAATCTGAGATTCTGCAGTGAAAAAAGAATAGTTAATTAACATATAATTAATTCAACATTTGGGACAGCAAAGGCATCTTCTTGACATATGTTGAGTAAATCTCGTTGTGCTAAAACTTAGCCGATGCATCTTTTTCATCAAGATTATTTATTGTACTGTCTTTGCCCTTATGAGAATTTGTGTTCTTAATATTTTTAAGCATGGTAGGTAGACTCAGGATACAGTCTAACAAATAGAAAGAGTAGCCTCATGTCTGCATTTCGCTTTACATTTACGTATGAACCCATGTTGACTTTATTTTGTAAAACATGAATGGATGCATTTTTGTCTCTAGCTAAACAATGAATCGGCTGTCGATGATGCCATACCAGATCACATCAACTTGTTGCTGCAATCTCAAGATTCCACTAGCAGTGTTGGAATGGAAGAGGTGCTTCAAATCAGAGCTGAGACTCCAAGTTTGGAGGTTGCCTCTCTAGATAATGCTAACAACACGCTGCCTGAGGTGGGGAGAAATGTGGGCTCAAGCATGGCTGACCTGTCCTCTTTCTAGCACTGTATGAAAGCTTTGCGTTCTGTCTGTAAGAATTTTTATCATGCTGATTATGTAATTATAACTTCAGTATTTTTAACCTGTTGTGGCTGAAAATTTGTTTACTGGAGATGATATATTTTTTTGGTTGGTAGACTAAAAATGTTCACAGCACAGGTTAAGAAAGTTTTGAAGTTCTTTTAAATGAACTGGTGGGGTGCAGAAGAACAATTGGATAAGTAGGATGGTTTTCTGGGTCCATTTTCTTCCTGTGATGCTTCCTTTTCTATGATCTTCCCTCTGCCTCTAATGCTTGCTTTGCCTCTTTGTGATTGGTGCTTTGATTGGGGTTTGAACCTCAGGCCAGCTTTGTTAGCAGCTGGTCAACTCAATGCTCTTGACCAAGCCCTCTGTGTCCTAGTGGCATGATTTTAAAAATGGAAATACATACATGGAATGAGCAAGATTCCCAGCTGATTAAAAAAAAAATCAGTGAGTATGTTACGTATGTATTTACCATTTCCACCAGATATTCAGCAGTGATCCCCACTTTACATTTTTTTAAGTGTATGTGTGCGTGTGTCTGGGTGTTTGTAATGAAGGCTTTCAGCTCTTAAGCATTCATAGGCCTTTTGTCTAGTACAGGGGTCCCCAAACTTGGCAACTTTTAAGACTTGTGGACTTCAACTCTCCCTAAGACTTGTGGACTTCAACTTGGCAACTTTAAGGCTTGTGGACTTCAACTTCAGAATTCTCCAGCCGGCATCGTCTTAAAGTTGCCAAGTTTGGAGTCTTCTGCTCTAGTACCTTTGAAGTCTAAAATAAGTACCATGGCTATACAATTGTCTCATTTTGAGATGGACTAAGTGGATGTAGGTCATTCGAAGACATTCTTTTTGAAATATGGATATATGATCAACACTTCCTGAAATAGGAAGTGCTGATCATATCCATATAGGGATATAGGAATGGCCATGGGACTGTAGTCTAAATCCCTAGTCAAGAGAACTCTTACCCTTGTTAAGATTTAGGATAGAATTTTGCAGTTTAAAAATGGGAATTTTGAAAAATTCCAAAACAACATGTGAACCCTTCCTGACTTATGTCTGCTGCAACATGTAATATAAAAATCATTCTGAATCTATTCTAAATGTATATAAATGCATTCCATACAATTTGGCCTGCATTTTGTTACATTTTATGTACGTGCATTAAGGCACATAACTCATAGCTACAGGTTCTTTTTTGTGATCTTTATGTAATCACTAAACATACTTCATTGAACCAAAGAGGGGAATCTCCAGATCTCCAGATATTGGATTTCAATTGCTGTCGTCCCTTACTATTGCCTATGATGACTAAGAGCTAGCAGGGAAATGTAATCTTGTATGATGCCAAAAGACGCAATAATCCTTTAGGATTATTATGTTGCCTTTGCATTCAACCAATTACTATTCAGAAACCATTTAAAGAAACAACATTAAACCTCAAGACAATTTTCAACACAAAAGTTAATGCTCCAGACAGTTCGTTTTCCTCCATTTACTGAATAACAATGAGATGATGATGATGATGGTGTATGTGTGTGTGTAGAGAGAGAGATATGAATGAGAGAGAGAAAGAGATAAAGTCAGCAATCTTTAATTTCCTGGAGCATGCCACAGGCTCTTGTTTTTGCAGGAGAAATCAAATATTGGATTTTCTTCTCTGTAATCCTCTGCAGGTGCTTTGTTCAAGATTGTGAAACTAAAGCTTTGGAAACCTGCAGAAGGTTTATTAAAGGAAAATACAGACCTGTAGTATCTATTATAAACAAATTCACTTCCACTGACAGCAATAGGAGGATTAATTTTATTTTATTTATAAAGCCACTCCACTCTCAAAAGCACACAGAATTTAAACTTCAAATAATATAAATATAGTAACTATTAAAAAACATAACATAAAAGCAAAGAAAAAAGAAATAGCAATACATCACCTGGGTCTTACTAACGTCTGACTCCAATATCTGGTCAAACAAGGAATCTTCAGCATTTTCCAGAAGGCTAGTTAGGAGGGGAGACATATTTCAATGTGCCTCCTCACCCATAACACCCATCCCAAAATCAAAATCTAGAAAGTGCTGTTTTTATATTCTTCCATACCATTGTTGAATCACTGGCAAGTTATGTTCTGTTTTGGTTTAGAGTTGTTAGTGTTTTTTACCTCACAGCACTCCAATTTGATTAGGTAATAATTATACATACATTTAGTCATCTTAAGCTCTAGCTCTTTTTATTCTTTCATCAAAAATTCATCTTGCTGAATTCGGTTGATCTTAATTCTGAATAGATGTCAGAGTTCAGTGTTTGAACTGAATAATTTTGACAAAGGATTTTTTTTTCAAAACTAAAATTTTGATTTCAAAGTAGATTTTAAAATGACAGGCTGCTAAAATAATATGCAGAAATGCTATGCTGGATATACAAACGGAACCAGCCGATGTGTTAATTTTAAAAGGGATACGGAAAATAGATAAGTTATCTCTGGTAATCATTTCAAAATTTGATACATAAATTTGGTTTCTATTTTTTTATTTTATTTTTTTATTCATATTAGTTTTATCTCCTTAATTGTAATGTTTAATAACATTATTATTAAAGAAATTAAAACATTGAACAAGGAAGGACTTTTTAACCTGAAATTGTAAAACATTAAATGACACTCCCAAAGGTTCTTTTTCAAGAGGCAAAACTTCTCATCCAAAAGAGATGAAGAAGCTTCTTGGATGAAAAGCGAAACATCTTCAAAGAAAAATCAGAAAATCCAGTTCCCTCTTGAAAAAAACAACTTTGGGAGCGTCCTGGATGACTGAGAAACTCCATAGACATTAAATGATACTCTTCCAAACAAAATAACATTGTTTATACTTTTTCAAATTAGAGAATAACATATGCACAAATCTTTTCAAATACTTATACATATTTTTTTTCAAAATAAAATATAAAAATTGTTCCTTCTCCTCCAGGATAGCAGTTCATCAGTGAAAGATGAACAAAGTACCGCTAGTGAAGATGCTGGATCAATTGCACTGCAAGAACAATTTGAGTCCTTAGTCCTTCAAGAACCCTTAGAACTGGAAGAAGCTCCTGAAATTCAAGAGCATCCGACCACTGAGAGTTATACTGAATCCATCTTTGAAGAGGATGTTACTCTTGCATTGAAGGAGCTGGATGAACGATGTGAAGAAGAAGAAGCTGACTTCTCTGGCTTATCCAGGTGAAATGTTTTATCCAACAGAAAGTTGCGTTTTTAGCCTTTTTAACATTTACCGTTTGAAGCCACGAACATGCTAGTACAGCAATAATGAACTTGTTTGACACAATTCCCCCTTTTCCCAGTTTTAAATATTGTCAGTGCTACCCGCCTCCAAAAAAACATACTGGTTTTCAGCAGTTGCAGAGCCCCAAACCAGATCTTCAGTTAATAGGCAAGCAATCCCAAATTCCTTGCTCCATTACTCTCAGGATATGCCCAAATTATCCATTGGGGTAATTACCTCCAGTTTACAAACCATTATACCAGAGAGGGGTCACAGATTAAACTAATCTCAGAGTTTTAGTCCTGCCTTGTTGAATAAATCATAATGGATGCATCCATCTACTTCAATAATTCTCAAATTGTGCTGAAATGTTGATGTATTGATGCAGCCATGTTCTCTCAGTAAAGTGTGTGTACTACTGACTTAAAAAGATAATACAGGTAGTCCTCAGCTTACAACCACAATTGGGCCCAAAATTTGTGTTGTTAAGTGAGAAATGTGTTCAATGAGTTTTGCTCCATTTTACGACTTTCCTTGCCATATTGCTTAAGCGAATCACTGTAGTTGTTAAATTAGTGACATGGTTGTTAAGTGAATCTGGATTTCCCATTGACTTTGCTTGTCAGAAGGTTGCAAAAGGGGAACCTGTGACCCCAAGAAGCTACAACGGGCATAAGTATGAGTCAGCTGCCAAGCTTCTGAATGTAAAATCACATGACCATGGGAACGCTACCACGGTTGTAAGGGTGAAATATGGTCATAAGTCACTTTTTTTCAGTGCCATTGTAACTTTGATCGGTCAGTAAATGAACTGTTGTAAGTCAAGGACTACCTGTATCACCTCTACAGGGTGAAGAGAGAAGTAATCAGAGCCAAGTTTTGAACTAAAGTTCATTTGCCATGATCATCCTCTTGTTTGATTTGCAGCCAAGATGAAGAACAAGATGGCTTTCCAGAAGTACAAAGCTCCCCGCCACCCTCCCCTTTTCTCTCTGCCATATTGGCAGCTTTTCAACCACAGGCCTATGATGATGAAGAGGAGGCTTGGCGCTGCCATGTTAATCAGCTGCTGACAGACACAGATGGATCTTCTGCTGTCTATACATTTCATGTGTTCTCTAGGTTGTTTCAGGTATGCCTCTTCATCCACATTGTTAGTTCTTAACTATCTAACAGGTATAGTTGAAATGGTAGTGCTCAGAAAAAAGTCCTTATTTTATTGTGTGTGTGTGTGTGTGTGTGTAAATGGGGCATGGGACATGTCGCTTGGCCTCCTGCTTTTACAGCCGCAATCGGCTGCAAAAGCGGCCATGCTTGCTGGGGGCGGCAGCCTGAGTGGCACCTGCAAAGCAGCTGTTTCATGGATGGTGGGATGGCCTGCTGCAACCCTTTGTGAAGCTGGCATGAGGGGCCGCTCACCCCGCGCCCCCCACTTCATACTGGTACATGGGAAATGTGACCTCCCTGAAAACAAGGCCTAGCACTTATTTCGGAGATCAAAAGAAATAAGACCGGGTCTTATTTTGGGGGAAGCATGAGGTGTGTACACACACATACACACATTGTGGAGATTGCAATAGGAAACCTTTCTCCTCCACTCTTCTGTTCATTAGAATAGTATCCATTTCTAAAATCGTAGGCTAGAATGACGCTAAAATCATAGGCTAGATATTGACTTGTCAATATCTGTCACTACAAGATTCTGTAGATTTCTTAGAAAGGATCTCCATGTAATTTTGCATCCCATTGTTCACCCAACCTTGCCCTTCTCCCTTTCATGTGATAAAGCTACATGGAAGAGGAAAATTTAGTCTTGGGTATAAAGCATCAGTCATGATAGAATAGGGCAGCCTGCTGCCCAATAATATTTTTTGTGAGAGGGGAGCAAATTTTGTGCAATTATAATTTTCATTTCTTTTAAATGTTTCTTCCAAAGCAAAAAAAAAAAAAAAAAAAAGTACTTGCTGCCAAGCCAAAATAAATATTAAACAATCTACAATAAAATAAGTAAACTCTATGAAAACATCATTTTATTGTATTTAGGTGATTCAGAGGAGATTTGGAGCCATAACACACGAATCTGTCAGTTTCCTGGGTGAGAATCTGCAGCGAATTGGAACAAAATTTAAAAGTTCATTGGAAGTTATGACGACGTACTCAGAATGCCCAACTGTTTTTGTGGATGCTGAAACGGTAATATCTTACATCTATGTCTACATGCCAACTTTTCTATTTAGTGACTCTTATTAGTAAGCTACAAAAGTTCTTTATTTTGGAATTTCCAAGAAAATTTCCTATCAAAATATATATATATAAATGTTCTGTCCTAGACCTCCCCAAAAATCACTAAGTCAATTCTGAGTCCCAGCAAAAACCTCTTTTATTACATTAATGTGAATTTATTTCATTCACAGTCAGCCAACGGCTTGGCAAACAGTCTTGAGAAGGTATCCTTATTCGCTCAGACCTTTATCAATCTTGGAACGCTGCCCAGTAAAATGCCACACTCAGTGCTGACAGGGAAGGGCTGGGTTATACAGACAAATCTTCACGAGGGTGGAACGAATGGACAAAAGAACGAGCAAGTTGTTTCCTACAAGATCCCCCTCCCCTTTTGCTCCTCTTTTAATCCTAATCGTCCACCTGTGGCCTTGCTCTCACATCGACCCTGAGTTCTTAATTGTGCCTTCCTTTTGGCACTCTGCGCATGCGCAGGCTGGGAAGCAGTTCCAGAAGCTTCCCCACCTCAACTGCTGTACGAGCCCAAAGGCAGCTGATGACTTCCAGCCTGCACTGGCCCCATCTCTGCGTCTGACGCAGAGCCCTCATCTGAGCCTTCCTCAGCCTCCAGGACTGGCCCAGGTTCCTCCCCAACCTCCTCATTTCTGTCCAGCTCTGCTGCCAGCTCCGCCAGCGGGCCACAACAAAAAACATCATTAGTTGCACTACAAAGAGTTTAAAATGGAAATAGGATATGTAAGCTCCCTAAAAATATTTGTTTTCTCCAGATCACAGGTCAAATTTCCTCTCTAGTATCCAAAATTATATCTGTTCTAATAATTTTTTTTAAATAATTTTTTGAGTTGATAGTATTAAACGTGTTTCATTTATATTTTTTTGCAATGTAAATGAAGTATTAAAATTGCTTTTGCTTCTGAGATTTTCATGTTTTGTTTTTCTCAGCCATATCATCACAAGTAGCTTAGAGCTCCAAAAGCTACACATTTTTTTTTATCCAGAACTATGAACATTGTCACAAGTAGAATTGCAATAAAAAAGTTGTTGTGCAGAATATCCCTCTATGGATTCCACTCAATAGGTCCCTTCCATCTCTTGCATGCTTCAGAGGTTTCTCCTCCCTCCCAGTAGAAACTTTTGCAAGATTTAGAGCTCTCCCAAGCCTGTTAATATTACTCTTGCCAAAGTAAGATGCAATTTGGGCTGCAAAGTTTCCTGTGAACTTTGAAAAGGAAGGAAATGATCAAATAAAAACGCCCTCAAGCTACAACAGCAATTGGGACTGGGATTTCCATTGCTAAGTGATGCAGTAGTAAAGTGTGACATCACCTGACAGCGTCACTTAGCGATGGCAGTCCAGGTTGCCATCCTAACCCCAGACCACACAGGTCACTAAGCAGGAAGAGGCAGGGGGAGGCCACCGAAGGCCTTGAGAGGGCCGGCAGATGTGCAGGTGGGGGATTCTGTCGGTAGTAGAAAAAGCAAACGGGACCAACTTACCAAAGGTGATCTACAAGCTTTCCTGCCGGCTTCCCCAATGACTACTTGTGAGAAATAGGCAGAGATGATTGCAAATAGCGATCATGTTCTGTGGAGATGCTGCAACAGCTGGAGCTTTGAGGACCAGTCGTACATCCATTATTATTTTTTTCAGCACCACTATAACTTTCAACAATTGCTGAATGGATGGACTACAATTGATTTCTACAAACTGAATGTATTACTCTTTGCTTATTATATTTAGTGTTCCTTTGATAGATTAAGACAATTGTGATTTTTCATTTCACAATCATCTGAATATCTACAGTAGGACCTCAATACCCAACTGCTTCAAAGCACATCAGATTTTGTACTCGATGCATTTTGACATTGCAAAATGTTGTCCTAGTACTCGTCATGTATTTGGTGTTCAACCTGCTGCGATAGGAAGAAGGGGCTGGCCACAGAGAGTGAACAGGAAGTTGTCCATGCCAGGAAGGGTCATGCATTTTGTTTGATACTCATTTTTAGTGTTCATCACATTGCTTGGAACCAATTAATGATGAGTACTGAAGGACCACTGTACTTAATTTCAGTTCTTTTGAATTAAAATCCCTCTGCTTTTAAGAGAGGGATTTATACCAGACAAACAAGCTGAAAACAATACCGTAATCAAGGAACTACCAATGAGAAAACCACACCCTTCCAACCCTGGCAGAGCAAACTATTATATATATAAACAGAGCAATTCACTGGCACTGCTGATGTTACCTAGCTGGGTGATGAAATGTCTCCAAGCCAACAACCAAACTTAGAGAGAGCATCAAGGACTCCACAGATCAACCCTGAGCTACATATATTCTCTTCTATTATAAACACGTGATTTTGGAAGTCAAGAGAATCAGCAGACTTGTCTTCTCCTTGACAAAAATTCAGTGGTGGGATTCAAAAAAATTTACTACCGGTTCTGTGGTCATGGCTTGGTGGGTGGGGCGTGGTGGGCGTGGCAGGGGAAGGATACTGTAAAATCCCCATTCCCTCCCCACCCCACTAACCTGCTTTCCAGCTCCGTTCTCCTGTGCAGGGCAACCAAAGAAGATTCAGCCAATCAGCTGGGACTCAATGGGAGGCAGAGAATAGATGGGGGCAGGGCCAGTCAGAGGTGGTCTTTGTTGGTTCTCCGAACTACTCAAAATTTCCGCTACTGGTTCTCCAGAACTGGTCAGAACCTGCTGAATACCACTTCTGACAAAAATCATTGCCCCATGATACCAAGAACATGGATCCAGAAAATAAACATTCAAAAGTACTTGGTATTCTTTGCATAAGCACCTTAATTCAGAGCGGTGGGGGGAATGTAGTAGCTGGCTTGTACTTATTCATTAGTTCTGGGTCTTGATTCTTGTCATGTGATGGTTGACATTAGATCAGTTTACTCTCCAGTAACCTTCAGGGTGATGATAGGTTTGTCCTTCATAAAGCAGATACACATCTGAAGTTGCATTTGGGAAATGAAATACTCGCAAATAAATGATAGAGCAATATTTCCAGTTCAGGCATTGCATTGCCAAGCTACTCATCTCATTAGCACTCCAAACAAGCCCATGCTGTGCTATCAGCTTATTTATATGGCATCTGCAAACTTTCAGTTATTGTCTGCAAGGGGGGAAAAATACATCAACATTTTATGTATTTGCTTCCATACAAGTTCAGTATCTTGCATTATTATTATTACAGGAATTGAATTTTTTATATTTGGTGCACAAATATTTTAATCCATCATTTAATAGATAATTATTTAGTAACAGTACCTGGCAAAGGGATGCATCTCATCTAGACAGTTCTTTTTTTAGATGTACACTTCTGTACTTTCATATGCCATCTAGAATAATTATTTCTGGCAGAACTATGGATTTTATATTAATAAGGGAGAGAATTTGTAGTATATAAACAATTCCGGCAACTTCCTTAATCTTTGGAGTTACTTCATTAATATTAGTAGATGATGTCAGGTTATAGCAAATGTTTAAAAATGTAAATAAGTACATATTATATTTCACATATAATCAATAAGGTTTTTAAACATTCTTTTTGTATTACAGTTAATGTCCTATGGTTTACTAGAAACGTTGAAATTCAGTGTTTTGGAGCTTCAAGAACATTTGGATACTTACAATGCTAAAAGAGAGGCAGCTGAACAGGTAGTTTTTTTTTTTTTTTTGCTCAGTATTGAATAAGTTAATGTTCATTGAAATTTTAAATAACAAGTAATATACTGGATTGTCCTACAGCGTTGTGTAAATTGAGGGAGGACAAAGACCATATGGCATATATTCATATTTGAAATAGAATGCATCCACTAGGTCTTCTTCAGAAATGAATGTTTAAAACAGTAAAAAAAATCTTTTTAAAAGGAGCATTTCAAAAGGAATAGAACTTTTAAGCAATTTCAAAGAATTCTAGAATAATGATGGGGTTTTGCAAATATAATAAAAGTGGAACACTACATTTTCAGAACCAGAATTTGATTTGCTGGAAGGAAACTTGACTTTTGATTGATACTTCTGGAAAGCTTCCTTTGTCTCAGAAATACACTCTGAACTGTCTTACACCTTTGCTCTGCCCTAATCATTCACAGATACTGCAGGGAAAGGCAAGCTGAATACAGAACTATAACCACAAGCAGTATTTTGCAGCTTCGTTATAGAAAACTCATGTTAAGATTTCCTATTGCATTAGGATGACAGAGGTCATTAAAGTGCCTGCCCATCAAACTGTATTTTTTTTAAAAAAGAGAGTGATAACGGTGATATTTTGGTATTCTGAATAATGGATGATATGCAAAAGTAAAATAAAGTACAAAAAAATTGTTTCTGGAACGTCCTACTGGCTTTATTCTTTTGATTCTACTTTGGTCTAGTAAAAACTGGTTTCCCCCCTTGCCTGAAGGATCATATGGGTTACATTTAGATGTTCTTCCCCTCCCTTAGCATTTAATTTGCACTTTATATTCAACTTTGGAGACCAATAATAAACTAATGCAGGTAATCCTCCGCTTACAACCACAATTGAGCCCAAAGTTTAGGTTGTTGAGCGAGACAGTTAAATGAATTTTGCCCCATTATACGACTTTTCTTGCCACAGTAATTAAGTGAATCACTGCAGTCGTTAAGTTAGTAACATGGTTGTTAAGTGAATCTGGCATCCCCATTTGCTGCTTGTCAGAAGGTTGCAAAAGGGGATCGCAGTGATTCCAGGACACTTCAGTTGTCATAAACATGAGTCAATTGTCAAGTGCCTGGATTTTGATCATGTGGCCATGGGGATGCTGCAATGGTCATAAGTGTGAAACCCGGTCATAAGTCACTTCAATGCTGTTGTAACACTAAATGAACTGTTGTAAGTCAAGGACTACCTGTACATCAACATTCTGTTTACATTATGTGGGGGAAATTGCAGTTCATTTAATATATTTGTGAAAGCAGAAACAGATTTTTATTCTAGGGAATGAAAAGTAGATATTAGAAGCAAGATCAATGATGCACCGCACTTGCGGTGAATGTGAATCTACAATAGGATTTATAGAATCCTATTTTGATCTCCTTATGATTCCTGACTCTTGACGAATGTATCTTTTCTTTTATGTACACTGAGAGCATTTGCACCAAGACAAATTCCTTGTGTGTCTAACCACACATATTATATTATTATATTATATTGTATTGTATTGTATTGTATTGTATTGTATTGTATTGTATTGTATTGTATTGTATTCTTTCCATTCCATTCTATTCCTTCCATTATTCTATTCTATTCCATTCCATTCCATTCTATTCTATTCTATTCTATTCTATTCTATTCTATTCTTCCTTATCAGTCCTTGTATCTATAGAAATGATTAAGAGGGAATATATGTCTTAAAATGAATGTAGGAATAATTGTAACAATATTTTACTGGTAACCTACACAATTAGAAATATGCCAATGTGAGTGAACACTGGTACAAACATGCAGTGATGAGTGGAAATGTTTAATTGTGAAAATATGTTCAGTAAAGATTTTAATTTTTTTTAAAAAAGTGATTAAGAGGGGAATGTTCTAGCACTCCTATTCTCCCCTCTTGCCCCCACGTGCTTCTTAGAAGTATAGAAGAATAAATGGGGGGTCCATGGAGCCCTTTTGGAATACTTTGTGCAGGGGTAACTGGCCTCGGGTTTCAGTGTTACGTTATTTATTGTGATTCAGCTCGACACCCGAAGTGGTAAAAGAGGAAGTAGAAGAAGAAGATGATCCATGGATGCTATCAAATAAAACAAAAACAAAAATGCCAAAAGAAAGATGTGTTGGGCTCTATGCCATTAATTGACATGCTAGTGTTTAGAAAATTGAATTTGTTCCCAAGAAAATGCACAGTCCTAATTCATTTACTAAAAGCCCTAATGAAATATATCGATGAAAAATTAGATTTTTGTTCTCTTGTGTACAAATGTTTTTTAAAAAGTCATAATCGCAAGTCGAGTTCATTATTCAGGCGGCAAAGAGCTGCCTGCAACTCAGTCTCAAACACAGTTAAGTTTTATTCCATTACAGCTTGTGAAATATAGCACGATCCTCACTGTCTATCACTGGTTGTGAGTAGATGCTACAAGTATGTAATATGTCTGTCCCTAAATGTGTATCCATGGTTGTCTGGTTCTCATCCAACACTACGTGTAAATGTGATTTGCTTTAGGTTCAGCAAGGTATCGGAATACACCCATAATGGCTTAGTGTTATGAATTAAAATAACACAGATTGTTCACTGAATTAGGGTTTCAAAAATGTTAGTGATCGGTGGGCTGGACTTTATATATGAATCTATATTTGGAAAAGAGACTAGAGTTTATCTTTTTGATGATGTACTGCTATTTCAATCATCTTGCTTCTTTATCATTTCAAATTACACATCAAAGTATATTATAAAAAGAGACAGTTTTAAAGGTATGCCTCATACATTTTTATTAGTTTTTTTTCTGAATGGGTCCATTAAATTAATACGTTATATTAGAACATCCTGTGATTCGAGCAAAATGTATTTTCTGTGTTTGGGCTCGTATAGGCATCAGTGATTTTGCTTTGACTCTTTCAGCTTGCTTCTATTTTATTTTGCAGTGGCTAAAAGATTGCAAAAGGACATTTGGTACAGATGATGGTATTCATGGAGCTTCTACAGATGCTCAGGTAGGAATCTGCTTTCAGTCACTATGTCTATTTATGTCATGTATAAATATAAAACGCTTACACGCTACAGAATGAACATGTCCTAACGTTCCCAGCCGGTTAAAGAGTAATCTTTTTTCATTTTAGCTATCAAAAATATCTTTCGGGAAATTTAGAATGTATTAAGTATTGGCCTGGAAACAGTGGGTTCTTTTTATTAAAAAAAAAAGCCAGCTTGTGGGTCTAGGTCTAATAACACTGAACAGATAACCAGGAAAGATGGAATCAGTATGCAAGCACTCCTCTGTCTCTTATGAAGCTGCTATTACAGAGAAAAAACTTGGTGTTCTGCATATCGGCTCATCAGATAAAATAGCTGTCTGGCATTGAAGCTAGGCTGCCTGAAATCTAATTAGTTTGGGGTTTTTTGCCTATGATCTGTCTGGAAAGTAATATTAAAAATAATTAGTTGGACAACAAAAATCTGATCTGAAGTGTTTGTAAAGAGCTATGCACAGTAGAAAACATAGATTTCTTAGAACCAATGAACACATTTTTGGAAGGATCAATAATAGCAGAGTATTAGTAAGTATATAGAAAAACTATTAAGAGGGGAAAAATCAGTTAAATAGGGTATTAGCGGTTTGATTAAACTATTTAATGAAAACTGGGCAATGTCATGGGAGCTATTATATTCTTTTCTGGGGGGAAATAGTTCTCAGTTGCCCAGAGTTTGTTGTGTATTTTTTAGCATCTGGAATGGTAGATAAACTCAGATCTTCTGATACCACTTCTAAGAAGATTTGTCTTATCCAGACTTGGAGAAGAAGCAAACAGAACTTTTTTATAGAAAATACTTAGATTTTGTTTTAATTTACTCTCATTTCTTTATTTATTAAGAAGTTGGGAAGTGGCTCCAGGAAGAGAGTTAAATTTTAAACAGTAACAGATTTTTTTTCTTTTTCTTTTTTCTTGGTAATGTAGATGTTAGTAAGTAAATAAGTAAGTAAGTAATGTAGATGCTAGTAAGTAAGTAAGTTGAGAAAGTCCAGAAATATTTCACAAGAAGAGTTCTCCACTCCTCTACTCGTTGCAGAATACCTTATGCCACCAGACTTGAAATTCTAGACCTAGAAAACTAGAACTACACCGCTTTCTGTCCGCTCTAAGTATGGTATATAAAATCATACATTGCAATGACTTACCTGTCAAGGAATTCTTCAGCTTCAACCATAACAACACAAGAGCACACAATAGATACACACTCAAGGTTAATCGCACCAAACTTGATTGCAGGAAATACGACTTCAGCAACAGAGTGGTCAATGTCTGGAATACTCTACCTGACTCTGTGGTTTCTTCCCCAAACCCCAAAAACTTTAATCTTAGACTTTCTACTATTGACCTCGCCCCTTTCCTAAGAGGTCTGTAGGGGGCGTGCATAAGCGCACCAATGTGCCTACCGTCCCTGTCCTATTGTTTCTTTTTATTTTTCTTATATGTATCCATTTCATGTATTCATAACTATGTTTATACTTATACCTATAAATAAAAAGTAACAATCTGTAGAAAATTTAAAGAGTTGCCTTTCCCAGCTACCCATTAAAGTAACTGTAAGAGTTTAATTTGAATTGAGAAAGTGTAACATAGACAAGGATGAAGATACAGAGAACTAAAAAATAAAAGCCAAGTGCAGATATTATAAAAGAGTTGGACATTTTTAGCAATGAGAAAGCTAAAATGGAGAGTGTAATAGTGCTCTTCAAACACTGAAAAGGACATTTTGCAGACGTTCAGAGCTTTTTCTTTCCCCGATAAAGAATGTAAGTTTCAAAGAGTCAAGAGTCTAGGTCAGGGGTGTCAAGCTTGATTTCGTTGAGCGCTGCATCATGTGTTTGACCTCGGGGGCCAGGGAAGATGTGGCCAGAGTGGGCGTGGCAAGCTTGATGTCGCTCTGTCGGGCACCTGGGGCCCGAGTGCTCTGTCAGCGAAAACGGGCTCCCGAATTCCGTTTTTGGCTGCGATGGCTTCCTGCCAGTGAAAACAGAGTTCGGGAGGGCCATGCGCAACCCTCATGATCTCCGTTTTCACTGGCAGAGGTGGGCCAGTCCCTCAGGCCAGATCTAAGCAGCCCACAGCTTGACACCCCTGCTCACTGTGTGGGCAGAGTGGGGGAACCTTTCTGGCCATAAGAGCACTTGATCATTCGAAGTAGTGGCCCAGGAGAAGCAATGGGATTCCTTGCACTTTGTGTGTTCATGCCGAAGTTAGACCGTAATCTGTCCAAAGTGCTTTCATTTAGATTCTTGCACTGTCCGAGGTTGTTGGGCTTGGCATCAGTGGCGGATTAAGGCTCACTGAGTGCCCTAAGCACTGACAAATCTTGGTGCCCTCCCTCCCTCCTTTGTACACACTGAACAAATGAAGCCGTAGTCTCAACTTTGTGGTGCCCCTTTGGGCCTGGTGCCCTAAGTAAGTGCTTAGTCTCCTTAATGGTTGAATACACCACTGCTTGGCATAGATGGCACATTCCACTTCTGTGATTCTGCAGTATTTATTTTCTAGATAACAGCATTTCCTCCTCCCTCAGATAGTGTTTTTCCCCCCAAATAGCAGTACTTTAAAAAAAAATGACTAGGAAGCTGTAATTCTGATCTTGTTATCTTGCACTGTGCATGTTATTTCCAAAATGAAAACATTAACGGGGGGAAAAGAGTATCAAGTTTGGCTATGGCTACCTAGCGCTAAAATAGAAGCCCGCCGACAAAAAGATTGAAAGTTGGGCTAGACATCCTCTAGGGCTGGGGTCTTCAAACTTGACAGCTTGAAGACTTGTGGACTTCAATTCCCAGAATTCCTCCTCCAGTCATATTAGTTCAGGAATTCTGGAAGTTGAAGTCCACAAGTCTTAAACTTGCCAAGTTTGAAGGCCCTTGCTCTAGGGGTCTGACTAGTCCTGTTCCAGCTTCTGGCCTTTTTCAGGCTAGAGATCTAAAAGGAGTCAGTATTTCTGTTCAGCTTGAACACAGAACCACTGTTAGGAAGATCCGGGCTGTGGCTTGCTTGACTGGGTCACAGTACTTTCTGTTCAGCTTGAACACAGAACCACTGTTAGGAAGATCTGGACCTTGGCTTCCTTGACTGGGTCACAGTCCTTTAGTAAGTCAGGAAATAGCCCCACACAATTGCTGCTTCACAGAAAGGCACAGTATGAACTTGGAAGAGTCTAATCCAGTAGCACTCAAGGCCAGCTCCCAATCTGCTGGCCACAGGCAAACTTGCTAGCTTTCTTTCAGAATAACCCAGGCTTTGACCTGATGATGAGAAGCACGTGAGCTTTCTTTTGAGTCTTTGAAGGGTTTGGCTTATCAGGAGTTAGGAGGAAATCTCTCTCTCTCTTTTTTTTTCTGTAAGAATTTGATCCTTTCTTCCTTACAGAAATTTTGTCTTCTGTTTTTCCACTCCCACTACTTCAACACATTGATATTACAGTTAACATCTTTTCAGGAATATCCTCTACGAGTACTTTTCATGAAGTTCCTTTAAATGCATGAGGTTTGATGTCTGCTTTCATAGTTGTCGCTTAAGCCTATTTATCCCCAATTTTCTTTTCTCTCCGTTCATTAGCAGAACTTAACCAATGCCTTCTACTTGTCACTATTATATTTTGGTCATTTTGCATGATAACAAAGCAAGTAGTACAACCAGCTGTTCTATCATCTATAAATACTCAATATTATTTTTTATACATGCATTATATCCTTCTTTGCAAGTTTTTTTTTCTCCTTTATATCTGGGACATTCTGAGACCCATGGAAAATGAAGTTCTATACTAATTCTTGATCTTTTTCCTTTTTGTATTTTGTGACCTGCACACCTTCTTGCTTAGCATTTGGAAATTCTAGCAGTAAGTGATGGCTCTTGATTTATCAAATAACTAACTATGCCAGTAACAAAACTGGCTTTCATTTTTGTCTCATGTCCATTTGTGATATCACAGTGTTTCATTATAGAATATTCTGGAAATAACATTTGCTTCGCTTATCTATGATTCTAACTCTCTGGCAGTCTTTTTAGATGGCAGAATATTGTAGCTATAGCATATTATTCCACTGTTAGTTTTGCTTATTTATTTTAAATCCATATTAACAGACATATCCACTAATGCAGTTAAATATGCAAATAGAGGTGATACTATGCTTCTATCCATGAATTCATTACCTTTGAAGTTGAAATATTATTAAAAATAATCAAAACATTCAGAATTTACAGACTGTATCAAAAGTCAGGCTTCATTGCCAGCCACCAAAAATGTTCAAAGGCCATGTGTCAAAAGAATGAGGAAGCATTTAGAAGGAAATGGCAACCAATTTGAACATTTAATTTATATAATAAATTGTGTATGGTGCCTGATTTTTGCTACATCCTGTATGTATGTATGTATGTATGTATGTATGTACAGTATATATGTATATATGTTTGTGTGTGTATAAAAAAACCTTTATTTGCGATGGAATAGATTGAAATGTGATTAGGGCAGTGGTTCTCAACCGATGCAGTTCATTTCATAGCAAGACAGAGCCCACATATGCAAGTGTTCCTGCCATCTGTCCCAGAAAACCTGGTTTTCAAGGCACTGGACAGGGTATCCTTGGTCCTTTTATTCATTTGCCTAATGTCTGGAGAAAGAAGGGTTTCGTATGTGATCCTGACCCAGCCTGTCTTTCAGCGTTTTGGGGGGGACTAACTTGTGTTCACTTAAAATTATTACATAGTTCTCTGTGTAATCTAGGATCCAGCCTCAGATCTGCCTCAATACATTTGTCGGGTGAAATGAAGTGGTGATGGGGTTCGGTCTCATTTGAGCCTTTGGCCTTCTGCGGTGGGGCTCCGTCTTTGCGCAACCTTGCAACCTGGACAGATGTCCATTGAGTACAGTGTGAGGTTAAGGTCCATTACAGCAATAGCACTCAGACTTATATACCGCTTTATAGTGCTTTACAGCCCTCTCTAAGCAGTTTAGAGAGACAGCCTATTGCCCCCAACAATTTGGGTCCTCGGAAGGATGGAAGGCTGAGTCCACCTTGAGCCTGATGGGATTTGAACTGCCAAACTGTAGGCAGCTGGCTGCAGAAGTGGCTTGTAGTACTGCACTCTCACCACTGCGCCACAGAGGCTCCTTATGCTTGAAGATGCCGGATAAAAACTTTTCCTCCCCTTCGTTCCCCATGAGATAGTGACCTGGCGTGTTGGTTGTAGCTGAGACAGCAACTTTTTGCCATTTTGAGAAAGTGTTCCTCACCTGGCTAATTACTGCTGTAATTGCAGGCCTTGGCCAGAAGGCTGAGACCATGGGGCACCCGATTGGAGACAGCTGGTGGGGAGGGTGGGAGCCATGGCTGCCATAAAGGAAGGGAAAACCCATGCACCTCTTACCCGTTGCCACTGGGAAGTAGCTTTGAAAAGGGATATAGGCAAGGATTGTAGACGAAGACGTCAGACAGATGGGAAGAAGGCTTGAAAGGAAATTATGATTGCTCTTGAATGGATTGCTAGCTTGTCTTCTCTCTTCCTCTGGCAGGGCTGGAAGAGTTTTCATGGTAGGATTTCTGGTGTAGTAGAGGGAGAAAATGAAACGTTGCGTGCCATGCCCACATTCAGAACTGCCTGTAAATAAATGAATGCTAGTGTTTGGGGGTGGAGGGAATACTATATTGAGATCATATGAGAAGGATGGACATTATTTGAAAGGTTGAGAACCACTGTTCTAAAATTAGAAGTGACAGATCGCCCAAAATAATGCAGACAATTTTTCCCAGCTAGAGGATGGCATTTCTGAAATGTCATCAACATCCATTTCTCTTTGTTGGAAATTGCTGCCCTTCTTAAAAGCCAAAGTTTATTATGTAGCCTGCAAGAAAATATTTTCTTTTTTAATTCTAAATCCACCTAGATGATTAGAAGCACTCATTTTTCTCTGATTAGCTTCTTCCTTCATTATCTTAACCTTTCTTCTCTGCAGTAAGCAAATAACTATTGTTATATTGCAAATTCTGCTGTATACAAATTGTATGCTTTTGTCACTTCTTTGGTTAATATATTGCTTTTCAGGTGACCTTTTTTTTTTTTATTTACAGGAATTAGAGCTGTGCCGGAGGCTCTATAAGCTGCATTTCCAGCTGCTCCTTTTATTTCAAGCCTATTGTAAACTTATCAGCCAAGTGAATGTAGTGAAAAAAGAGGCAGAGGTAAAGATTTGCTTTTACTGCAAGATTTAACTAAAAATTACATCTCTGAACGAAAAGTTTAAATAGGCTACTAAGGGTGGATATGCATTGTGTCCACTCTGCTTTCCTGCTCAAGTGATGATAATCAGTAAAAATACAGAATTCGATTAGTTTATCGAAAATTAGAAGATACAAATTCATATCAGAATTAAACATTAATCAGTTTGAGACTCGCTCCTCATCCAGCTTTATCAAATTTCTGTTCAGCTCCTGTAAGCGCCAGTATATTCACTGTAAACGCTTGGGGTGTTTATGAGAACATCTGTTAGGGTTTTGGAATTAACCCCTAGCAGAGTATTGCAGCAGTAGTCAAGCCAGGAAGGGCCCCAGAGTATACACACACTGAACACAAACACTGTTTGTAGTTTAAATAGTTTTTAATCCAGTTAGAGTTTAAACATTGTCATTCAGTCCATTAAGTCATTCACAGTATTTCCATCCAGTAAGACTCACTAGTATAGTCCAAGTTAAGAGTCCTTGCAATATCTTTATCAGCCGATAAAGATATCTTCTCCTCCTCCGGTTTCACTCTCCAGAGAAACAAACGCTGGATATTCAGCAAACAGTAGCAAACAATAACAGTTCAGTCACAGCACTCACAGTCAGTAATCACAGTTAGTCGCAGCAGCACACAGTTACAGTAGCACACAGTTACAGCCAGCCAGAGCGTCAGTCAGTTACAGACAGACAGTTAGTAAACTCACAGTAAGCTTTCCAGCTTCTAATGCTTCCTTATATAGTAACTTCTAACCGCACCCTTAATCGGCTAATTGCCTGCTGCATTGTGCTTAAAGTGATAAGCACTTAAACCATGATATCTAAGTTTTATATATTTATTCACCCAAACCATATTTGGTATCAATGTTATACCTAACATACTCCCCTTTTGGGTGAAATAAATATATAATACCTTTACAATCTTATCCCATATTTTTCACAACTCTCCTGGTGCTTACTGGCACCTTGGGCTTTAGTAAAATTATCAGCTAAATTGTCCTCCGACATACAGTATTCTAGCTGAATCATCTTACTTCTTACAGATTGTCTCACGTTTAGGTATCTTAGATCTGTATGCTTGCTCCTTGTTTTTACTCCAATATTTGTGGCCATTTGAATTGCTGCCTGATTATCTTCATGTATAATTATAGGATAATCTACAGTTATACCTATATCAATTAACATTTGTTTATACATTATTAATTCTGTACATAACAATGATAAACAGGAGAATTCTGCCTCCATAGTAGACAAACTTATATGCTGTTGTCTTATTGACTTCCAGCCTATTAATGTATTACCTAGCATTATGGCTGTTCCTGAAGTCGACTTTCTAGTGTCTCTTTCTGATGCAAAGCTAGCATCTGCATAAGCACACAGAATTAAATCACCCTTTGGTTCTAAATACAATGAATAATTCATTGTCTTTTTAAGATATCTTAATATCCTCTTAGCTGCAATCCAGTGTCTTTCACATGGTGCAGAATTGAATCTAGCCAACTGATTCACGCAGTACGATATATCTGGTCTAGACCAATTACTAATATAACTCAAACTACCAATTAAAGATTGATAAATCACCTTATCAAACTCAGGGCTTTGTTCATCAGTGTTGCTAAACTCCTGACTCATTGGAGTCTTAGCTGGCTTACAAAGCTCCATCTTGTAATCTTTTAGCAATTTGCTTATCTTATCTTCCTGAGATATCTTAAAACCTTTTCGTGTTTTCTTTATATTCAAACCGAGATACTTCTTTATCTCCCCTAATTGCTTGATCTTTATTCTCTTTCCTAATGATGCTATTATTTTATTTGCTTCATCATTAGTTTCAGTTATCAAAGCAATATCATCTGTGAATAGTAATAATAATGATACTTTCCCATTTGTCTCCCTCTTAAACAGACATGGATCGGCTAAACCAGCTTTAAATCCTATATTGTCTAGTTCCTTTACAATATACTGGTTCCATTCATAGCCTGATTGTTTAAGACCATAGAGACTTTTCTTTAACAACCAACAATCATTATTATTCTTACTTTCACTTTTAATACCAACAGGTTTTTTCATATAAATAATATGTTTTAATGGGGCGTGCAAGTAAGCAGTTTCCACATCTAAATGGTTAACTATATAGTTATTACTAGCTGCCCACACTAAAACTGCTCTCAAGGTTGCTGCCTTAAGACTAGGTGCAAACACCTCATCATAGTCATTAGCATTCTGCCTAAAACCTTGGGCTACTAACCTTGCCTTATGGATTAAATTACCATTTTTATCTGTTTTTACCTTAAAAATCCATTTGCAGCTAATGGATTTCTTTCCTACAGGTAATTTAGCATTTTCATACACCTTCATATCTCTTAATGAATTTAGTTCCTTATTCATTGCTGCATACCATTTTTCTTTTTCCTTATTAGGATACTTTTTAATTTCTTCAACAGAATTAGGAACTTGATTAATCTGGCACACTGTGTTAGCCTGGTACCTATCAGGCGGTCTAGATACACGTGTAGTTCTTCTGGGAATTACAGGGCTTACAGGAGGACTTTGTTGAACTACTACCTGTTCATCTTCCTCATCCTGTTCAGCTATTGAATCTGTTTCTTCCTTTATGGGCACTATTTCATCCTGTATTTGTCTCTTTACTTTATTTTTAAAGTTACAGGGATAACTAATGGGATTTCTATAGGATTCAATAATTACATCTTTATTGGCATCCTGTTCTAATTTCTCCCATCCTTCATGTTCTAGAAATTGGGCACTAGCACTACATAACACTTTAGATGTGCCTTTCTCCCAAAATCTATATGCCCTATGGTTTGCCTGATAACCAACGAAGAAAAATCTTTTAGCTCTATGTTGCCCTTTTTTTCTGAGTTGTGCAGGAATATGCACCCATGCTGGTGCACCAAATGTGTGCAGGTAACTTAGATCAGGTTTCCTGCCATGCCATCTGGTAAATGGAATTTCACCTGTTGTTGTATTAACAACGTTGTTCAATATGTTATTAGCACACATTGTAGCCTCCCCCCACAAAGAATCAGGTAACCCAGAATCATTTAACATTGTTCTAACCATTGCCTGTAGTGTTTGGCCTCTTCTTTCAATAAAAGCATTATGTTCTGGCCTGTATGGAGCAGACTTCTTATGCTCTATTCCAGCTACCTTAAGTCTGTTCTGGAATTTGTTATTAATAAATTCCGTACCATTATCTGTCACCAGGGTTATCAGTTGTCGTTTAGACTTTCTTTCAGCAAACCTAAGCCAATTGAAAAAATGTTGATATGTTTCAGTTTTGCTTTTCATTAAATAGCAAAACCCATATCTAGAATAATGGTCCATAATGCTCAGTATATATCTAGCACCCCCCATACTGGGTTTCTTTGGACCTATTATGTCTGCAAATACTACTTCTAAAGGTTCTTTTGTTTTGAAACCATTTAGCCTATTTGCAGGCAATACCTTGCTCTTATCTTCACAGCAAACATTACAACGCAAATATTTATCACAAGGTTTTAACCTTATTCCTTCAGATAACTCAACTGTTCGTTTTAGCATTTTAAAATTTACATGCCCCAAACGCCTATGCAATAAATGGATACATTCTTCATGAGGCTTTATATTATTAAATACAGTTTGAGCCTCCCCTTTCTTACTATTATCTAAGACATATAATGTTCCATTTAAAGCTGCAGTTACCCTTTTGTTATCTTTTTCAATTATGCAATTATTATCCTTAAAAGTAATTACATAACCTAATTTATCTAATACCCTTACTGAAAGCAAATTAAACTTTAGTTGCGGTACATACAACATTTTTATATCCTGGTTTATGTACGGACAACGTGCAAAACCTTGACCTTTCGCTTTCAGGTTCCAGCCGTTAGCAAGAGATATATGTTGAGAACTTGTAGACATTTTTATAAATTTTGTCTTATCTCTTGTGATGCAGTGGGATGCGCCACTGTCAACCACCCATAAATTATTCTTCACATCAGAGTTGCTAAACGTGGCTAGTTCAAATGCTTTCTTTGGCTTTTTTACATTCTGGCTTTTTCTCTTTTTGCAGAATCTTGCCAAATGTCCTCTGCTTCCACAATTAAAACATTTTTTAATTGTGTATGCTGTTGAAGATAAATTCTCTTCTTCCAGGTGCTTTACTTTGCTTTGCTGGTTTCTTTCAAGCTTTGAAGATAATTTCTCTTCTTTCTTATCTTCTCTCAGCTCGTCACGCTCACGCCTTCTTCTGGCTTCTTCTAGTAGCCTGCCTGTAATCTCGGTTAATGAGAGGCTTTCTTTTGGCAATACCTCTAACGAAGTCACATAGTCATCATAGCTTTGATCTAATGAAGATAATATTATGTAGACTTTTTGCAGTTCATTAAATATAAGCTCTTTTTCTTGCAAATCTTGAAAAATGCTCTTCATACAGTTTAAATGAACTAACATATCTCCATTCCTCTGAAGATGCGTTCGAAAAAGCTTCCGTGTAAGATTTATATGTGCTCCTACACTGTCCCGAACATAAATCTTCCTGAGGTTCTCCCAGCAGTTTGCAGCATTTTCTTCTCCACGAATATGGACAAGCTGCTGATCACAGAGAGTCAGTCCTATGATGCATAAAGCCTGCTCATTCTTCAGTTTAAAGTCTTGTAACTTTTCTTTATCATCATCATTAGCAGGATCCCATCTACTCACATCTGGTGGGTTTGCTATAATGTCCCACAAACCTTCTCTGCGTAGAAGTAAACTACATTTCATTGACCATGAAACATAGTTTGTTCCATCCAGCCTGGATATCATGGACAGTTGTGACAAATTTACTTGTGCCATTGCTCTTCAGATATTTTGACTATTTTAAACTAATTAAAACAGTTTGTTTTTACAGTAATGTGCAACTCACACCAACTCTCTCTGCTATATCCTGGTTAGTTAGACTATGCTGCTGGGCCCATAACCAATGTTAGGGTTTTGGAATTAACCCCTAGCAGAGTATTGCAGCAGTAGTCAAGCCAGGAAGGGCCCCAGAGTATACACACACTGAACACAAACACTGTTTGTAGTTTAAATAGTTTTTAATCCAGTTAGAGTTTAAACATTGTCATTCAGTCCATTAAGTCATTCACAGTATTTCCATCCAGTAAGACTCACTAGTATAGTCCAAGTTAAGAGTCCTTGCAATATCTTTATCAGCCGATAAAGATATCTTCTCCTCCTCCGGTTTCACTCTCCAGAGAAACAAACGCTGGATATTCAGCAAACAGTAGCAAACAATAACAGTTCAGTCACAGCACTCACAGTCAGTAATCACAGTTAGTCGCAGCAGCACACAGTTACAGTAGCACACAGTTACAGCCAGCCAGAGCGTCAGTCAGTTACAGACAGACAGTTAGTAAACTCACAGTAAGCTTTCCAGCTTCTAATGCTTCCTTATATAGTAACTTCTAACCGCACCCTTAATCGGCTAATTGCCTGCTGCATTGTGCTTAAAGTGATAAGCACTTAAACCATGATATCTAAGTTTTATATATTTATTCACCCAAACCATATTTGGTATCAATGTTATACCTAACAACATCAACCAATATTTAATGGTGGTAGTTGAATTCCTCATGTTGGCTTAAATAGATCATTTAAACATACTTTCTACATAATGGTGTCCCAGAGTAGGGGGGGAAATGTTTCTGCTACCCAAAAATGCACATCCCGCCCTTCTTTTTTCCCCCCAGGTGATAAACATGTCAGAGGAGCTTGCTCAGTTGGAAGCCTGCCTGAAAGAAGCTGCTGCTTATAGCAGTATTGAAGACACTGATATCCCGGAAGCTTCTCAGATCAGCACAGAGACAGCCATTCATTCGCTCATTGAAACCTTACGGAATAAGGAATTTTTCTCTGCCATAGCACAAGTCAAAGCGTTCAGGTACTGCAAACTGCCTTTTGCTAACATCCCTGACCTGGCAAGGATGCAGCTGGGAGTGAGTCTCAACCAAGGACTGACGTAAATCTAGGTCCATGGAAAGGGAAGAGCGCTATAAAGTAATGGTAACATTTAATACCAATAGAAGGGAATATAGGGTTGAACTGTGGTGCTCTCTGAGCTTGGTTGTTTTCTGGAGATGTTTCCTGACCCAACTAGGTAACATTTTCAGCGAACTCAAAAGTGCAACAGGTACTCCACAATTTTGTTTAGTTTTGGGAAATGGATGGGTTAATTAGCAGAGGCCTCATGTTTAATTACACTTGGGATTAATTATACCTCCATGGGAAAACTTGGATGCATCCATTTGGAATAGAGGTGTAACCCATTTGGATCATGATAAGGGCAGTGGCTAATAACTGAATTTCTGTGTCCCCCCAGGTGTATTTGGCCCAATGACATATTTGGCGATTCCGAAGAAGACCCGATTCAAACCCTCTTGCACATATTTTTCCGTCACCAGACCCTTGGCCAGACTGGCAGTTTTGCAATATTTGGCTCAAAACAAGATACATCTGAAGCCAGCTCCAAATTAATGGAACTGAATTTAGAGATTCGGGGATCTCTCCACGTGGTGCAGTCGTACCAGCTCCTTGCAAAACACGCGGCTGTGAGAAATCTGAGTACAGGGTTTTGAACCACTGTTCCTCGGAGGAAGACTAAAAGGGAGGGAGGGTAGTTTCCCTTTGATCGAGCACCTTTCATATCGAATGAAACTGTCCTATTCTCCAGGGAAGAACTTTTCTAGAAACAAGTCGCATACTTTAGTAACAGTTCTCGAAACAACTGACATCTTTAATGCTTTTTTTTTTTTAAACCTAGTATCAGTAATACGAACTCTTTAAAAAAAAACTGCATTAGAGAAAAGGGCTAAAAGCAATGCCTATAAAATGCATTTTTCCCATCATAAACAGAAAGTACGTGGAGTTGCAATAATAGCCTCTTAACTTGGGGATAATTAAAGCAGGTGAAATGAGGCTAAAATGAACAATGGTGCTTTTGGCTGAAGACCTGTGAAAGCTTTCTGGCTTTTAGACAGTAAATAATCAAATAATGTTTAATTCATAATTTTGACACTGTCATGAGGAATGTGCTGTATTATACTGGAATATAAAAGACTGCAAAATCCATTGATTTATCAATATTGTATTTACAATTTATTCTATTTTTGCCTGTAATGATAAAATATATGCGTGCAAGTAGGAATGAATGGCTATCCAATCATATTTTGAGGATATGGATGTTTGATAAAGTTTGAGCATGCCAAAAAAAAGCACTGCAAGATTATTTTTGGAAAAAAGTATATATTTTTAGCTTTAATTCCTAGTCTGTAAATGTTCTGGAGTTTAATAATATTTAAAACTGGAATTATCCAGTTTTTTGTTTTTTTTTTTAAAAAAGAAATAATATATCTCTTAACTGGTTTGGAATGCTGCTCAGTTTTCTGATCAGTGCTTATAACAAATAACTGATAACTAACCAAAAAGTAGCTGCTTGCAGAGACTTTAAAAATGTATATTAAAGATGCCTATTGTCCCTCAGAACTCACTAGAAAAAGTAACTTATTTTATTCTGTACATATTCTAGAAATTGTATAGTGTAAAATCCAGTATTTTTTGTATAAATGTTCAATGACGTTTTATTTGAGAATAGTGTTCAAAGCTTCGGGGGGGGGGGGGGGGCAGATAGGACAGTGTTTATATCTGTTGTTCCGCAGAGTTCAAGAGAAAGTTTAAGCAGGCATGTGTTCCACGATTTTTCAAACCAAATTTTTTTGCAAAGGCACCAGGGACTACGCTAGGGAGAGAATGCAGCCTACGGGGCCCCAAAAGTCAGCCTTCTAATTCCTTGTCCAAGCATGGAGCATAAAAGTAACTGGATCCCACTCAAACTAAAAACATTTTAATGAAGCAAAAAGGGTGAATGTAATTCCTCTATTCAAACCAATCGAATCCCCAATATTTTATGTATTTCTCAAGCACTGTGATTAAAAATAAAACAAGTTTCCAGGGAGTAAAACAAAGAATTAGTGTGGGCTTTGTTCATTGGGGAAATCGATCCTGTTAAATATGGAGTTATGCTGAACTACAATTCACTGAAGGCCCTGTGCATTTACAGAACTGTTGGGACGGATAACACAAATTTTGTTCCATTTCAAAACTCTGTTAAGATATATAGCGCATTCATGGTCATTTTTTTATCCTGAAAAAAAAATATGAATTATTTTGATGTTTCTGTGGTAATTTAGGTTGCGTTCTTAATTATTTAATAACCCATTACAAGTATACATGTAGTTTTTAGTTGTATATTATAATTTTTAGATATTGTATCATTCATTCTTTGTGTGTGGTTTTTTTTTTGTTTTGTTTTTTTTTGGGGGGGGAGGGGGCCTTGTTCAAATAAAAATGTCCAACTACTCTTTTGTGTACTTTCTCAAAGAATTTAAGGGTTGCAATCTGATGGAGAATACTTGATGTAACATTATTGTGTTTAATGCCATAGACTTCTTTTTAAAACTCTTGGGTGCTTTTTAACAATGGAGTATGCCTATAAACAAGACTGTTCCTGCTCTGCATTTAAGAGACGTGTACCTGCCTAGTGGAAAACAGTGTTTAGTGCTGAAGTACTTGAGTGGAGAGGGAAGCATCTCTAAAAGCAAGAGAGGATTGGTGCTTCCATCCTATTTGGCTTTTTAGGAATTAACTTCTCTAAAAGCAAAATTATAATTTGAGAGCCTAGCTTGATCCTTCGCCATGACAAAATGGTTATTTTCTAATGTTCCCAGATTACCTTTCATAAGTTGAAAAATCCCCACGTGTGGAAAGATTTGGGTCCAGGCCCCAGGAGTATAAAAAGTGTATCATTAGCTGCCTGGATCAGTGATTTGACTCATGATGCCCATTTCCTATCTGAGACTTCCGTAAACGGTGTGAGAAATCCAATTTGTCTTGGTTTATTGGCAGAGTAGTGTTGGCCACTTATGAATGCTAACTTCATTGCCCCTGATTTTTATACAGAGCATTAACAAGTCCTTTACCATGAAAAGTGTTGCAAGCGCTCAAAGCTAGGTCCTGCTTTCACTTTCAGTGTGCGCCCCTCCATGTGTGTGCAAACCTTGAGTTGCCATAATAGCATACAGGTTTTCACAAGCATTTGTGTAAGTGCTACTTAAAATGACCTAAATCAAGGGTCCCCAAGCCCCACCATGGACCGGCCACCTCTCCATGGCATGCCAGCAACCGGGTGGCGCAAACAAGCAAAGCCCCATCCATGGGATGCAGGTAGCATGTAACACTCTCCTTCCTCTCCAGTCTGCGGAAAAACCTTTCTCCGCGGAACCGGTCCCTGGTGCTCAAGAGGTTGGAGGCCGCTGACCTAAATTATACATTAAAAAAAAAACAAATCTCCACATTAAATCTTGAGCGATTACTTTCTAAAATTGAAGGAAGTCTCTGTTCCTGGTTAAGTATAATATAATCGAACAAACATGCACTGATTTTATTAGGGGGAGGGGAAATAAGTGATTTTGAGAGAGTCAGTTTGGTGTCGTGGCGAAGGATCAGGCTAGAAACTGGGAGACCGCGAGTTTTGTTCCTGCTTTAAGGCACAAAGCCAGCTGGCTGACTTTGGCCCAGTCGCATACGCTCAGGAAGCGGGCAAGGGCAAACCACCTCGAAAACCTTGCCAAGGAAACTATAGGGACTTGTCCTCCGGTAGTTGCCAACAGTCAAGGCTCCTTGGCACAAAAACTCTTGATTTGAATCAAGTTCATTCTGCCCTAAAAAAATAATAATTAGAACCTACCTTATACAGAAGCAAAGCTGGAACACTGGTCACCGTTACCTAACAGTAAGGGAGCAAAAATTCTAGACCAAGACAGAATATAGATATATGGACAGACGGGTTGAATTGCGATGAGAAAAAAAAATCAACAATGGAGGGATGGGTTTCATTTATATCTTGGCAGCACATTTGAATAGAAGAGAGCTGGAAGGGACCTTGGAGGTCTTCTAGTCCAGCCGCCTGCTCAAGCAGGAGACGCTTCAGATAGGTGGCTGTCCAGTCTCTTCTTAAAAAAACCTCTATAGTGATGAAGCACCCACAACTTCCGAAGGAAAGCTGTTCCACTGGTTAATTGTTCTTACTGTTAGTAAGTTTCTCCTGAATTCCAGGTTGCTTCTCTCCTTGATTACTTTCCATCCATTATTTCTTATCCTACCTTCTGATGCTTTGGAAAATAAGTTAAACAACCCCCCCCCCACTTTCTTTGTAGCAGCCCCTCAAACACGGGAATACTGCTATCATGTCACATCTAGTTCTGCGTTTCCCTGGACTAGCCAAATCCAAGTCCTGCAATTGTTCTTCACATGTTTTAAGTCTCCAGGCCTTGAATCGTCTTTACTTTTCTTCTGCGCTTTTTTTTTTTTCAAAAAAAGTCAACATCTTTTTTTTTTGTAGTGTGGTGACAAACACAAAGTTGATTCACGCTTCATGCAGCCTCCACATCTTTAAGTTTCTCAACTTTGGCAGCTTTAATATATGGAATTCAACTCCAGCCAGAATTCTGAGAGTTGAAATCATCATATCTTAAAAGCGGCCAAGGTTGGGAAGCGCCGCTTTAGACAATGGACACTGCTCCCATCATCGCAGCCAGTCTGGGATCCTTGGCATGCTACTTCCCTCTTGCTTTGCCAAACAGAAGGGCGATCCATTCTGCCAAATTCCTTTGTGCCACCTGGACAAGTCCTGAAGTAAATCTCTTGCTCATCTCATGGTGATGCACACAAGCAGCTGACATGCTGTTCCGTCACTCTGCAATATTCAGAGATTCAGCATAATGTGCGAGTGGAGCAGCTGTCTCCCTTACAACCAAACTCCTCTTGCTGAACTTTTTCTGCCTGAAAGGGGATAGAGGCAACCATTTTATTTAAGCCTCAAAGCTATGGACAACTAGATTCCCATCAGTTCCCATACAGAACCCCAGAATGAACAGGAAAGAGACTCCTTTCAGCTAGCAATAACTGGATTATGTGTCAATGTATACTTTAAACAAGGGGTCGCCAACCTTTTGGACCTCAGGGATCACCAAACTCATAATTTTAAATCCCAGGGACCACTAACCAGTTCTGTGGGCATGGCCTAATATGTGGGTGTGGCTTGGAGGTCAGGTGACTGACTGGGCATGGCTTGTATGCAAATATAAATATTTATATAAATATTGAATTTTTTATTAAAAAAAGAGCAACTTTTACCCAAAATCAGACCAAGCAGGCAAGCAGATTGAGTTGCTCACAGAATCACAGATTCATTCAGAGATCTATCTTATCTGCCATCGGCTAGCTCAGTCTGTCGCATCAAATTTGCTTGCAACCATACTCATAAAATTTGCTAGCAAGCAAACTCACAAAATTAACTCACAACACACCATGTACAGGTGAAACTCGAAAAATTAGAATATCGTGCAAAAGTTCATTTATTTCAGTGATGCAACTTAAAAGGTGAACCTAATATATGAGATAGACTCATTACATGCAAAGCAAGATAGTTCAAGCCATGATGTGTCATAATTGTGATGAGTATGGTTTACAGCTCATGAAAACCCCAAATCCACAATCTCAGAAAATTAGAATATTGTGAAAAGGTTCAATATTCTAGGCTCAAAGTGTCCCACTCTAATCAGCTAATTAAGCCATAACACCTGCAAAGGGTTCCTGAGCCTTTAAATGGTCTCTCAGTCTGGTTCAGTCGGAATCACAATCATGGGAAAGACTGCTGACCTGACAGTTGTGCAAAAAACCATCATTGACACCCTCTATAAGGAGGGAAAGCCTCAAAAGGTAATTGCAAAAGAAGTTGGATGTTCCCAAAGTGCTGTATCAAAGCACATTAATAGACAGTTATGTGGAAGGGAAAAGTGTGGAAGGTGCACAAGCAGCAGGGATGACTGCAGCCTGGAGAGGATTGTCAGGAAAAGGCCATTCAAAAGTGTTGGGGACCGACCGGACAAGATTGTGCAGGAGGAAGTTTAAAGGAGAAAGTTTGACTGACAGGGGTTGAATGGAGAAAACATCTATTTAAGGTACCTGGAACTTGAATTATAAAGTTTAATACTATTCCTAAACAAGATCTTTAAAGCGCGAAAGGGAAAGGAAAAAGAATTGGCTTTTTTCTCTCTCACATTGACAGCTTTAATTGACTTTGAATGTTAAGAAGAAGAGATCTAAACGAGAAATTGATATTAATCCACTTTGACGTTAACAGGCTATTTTTGGCTGAAAATGAAGTGTCAAAGGGATAAAGACTTGGATAATTTAAAAAAAATTTAAAGGAAGAAAGCAGAGGGGAAGAAAAAAAAGAGGGTGGAATCTGGAAAAATAGAGGAGACCACCT